TTTCTCCCAGCGGCACGTTCGGTGAATGTTGTGCGCGTCACACGTGGGAAACTGTTGATCGCAGGGGAAAAAGTGTTTCTGAGTTTGTGTTAACTTAGTGTGGACTACACCTGCTCAATACATGTGGAAGGGTGTTAAAATCAACATTAGGGGTGTTAACATTAAGCCTCAGTGCAGCTCTCGTGGCTTAAGAAAAAAAAATTCGACAAGATATTAATGTTGTCTCATCCATGACTCGTCGTTCAAATCTTTAAAGTCTTCCAAGTAACATGCTACCATTATCATACAAAATCTTTCTTGGTTGTTTGGGGGTTTCCCTCGTTTACAAAACTCGCATTTCATGTGTGATGGAATGACTATTTCTGGATTTCGGAGTATTGCAAGACAAAAATATCCCAATGAAGTCTGCCTACAGACACAATTGAAGATTCAAGGAAAACGTAAGATGGAAAGCATCGCGTCTCATCGATTAATCGATACTCATTGTCGTCAAAACTATTTGTAACATGCGCGATGCATTTGACATGAATAAATCGGTGATTGATTGTACTCTTATTACAATCAGTAGCACGTGATTTTGATATCTGCTTGGCAGGATGAGCTTGTAACAGGTGGGCAGGAAGGCATCGTGTGCATAAGACGACATTTTAAAAAATACAATCGGATAATGGCCTTTTTTGAGTACCAAGTCGTATTTCGTATTTCTACCGCATGCCTCATAATTAAAAAAAAGAGGCAAAAGGAATATACATCTCACTTCATTCTGCAAGAAATGTCCGAATATTGTCTTTTGAATCACCCTAATTTTCCTATATAGTTTCTTTCATAATATATGTCCAAAAAGCCATATGCCCTTTGAGTGATCCCTGTTCGTCACTTCCCAGGTTGTATCTAGTTATTGGGGTGTGATCCCTGGCTACATGGTGTTTCAGGTTTAATGGCTTCTGGCTAGCGCCCCCTGAACAGAGATATTGACAAATGGGAAGAGCCACCAACGTAGGGGCCGGGCTGGGTAGCTCAGTCGGTAGAGCACTGGTACGGTGTTCCAGAGGTCGCAGGTTCAAATGTCGCTTCAATCAATTTCTTTGTTCATCTTTATAAAATCAAAGAAGTTCAACAAAATGATGAAAGACAGTTACGTTTTTCGGGTCTTCACACCGAGGTTTCTATCAAATCAACTTAACCCACTCTACGAAGCTGGTAAGTTGTCAGTGTATCGAAACAAGAACTTGCAGCTTCCTCTTTAAGGCGAAAAACACAAGTAGAACCACAGAATAAAAATACAACAATACGGGCAAAGGTAGACGTCGTGCCTTCAGGCATTCCGTTCCACCGAACCGATCGATTCCCACTCCACAGCGAATTTCGCAGCCAACCGGGGCATCATGCGTCAGTTTAGGCCATGTGTGAAGATAACACACTGGGCCAGCTAAGCAGGGTGCAATCTCCGGAAAGGAAGCCAGCACATTCGACGTCTCGTCGGGTCGGTTCGTCCATCGGGTCCGGTGAAGGAAATTCAGCTTATAAGGGGTGGATGTGGAAAGAGAAATCACCTGTGCTGCGTGCATAGGCCTACATTAAATTTACTATCTCCCGTCTGTGTCAATGAGATGAATTTTAACAATTAACCCCACAGGACTGAAGCGGACCACACGTAGATACACTGTCTCTTCAAAACGTTTTTTATCTTCTTTTCCCACCATTTTTTTTTCATAAATCTTTATCAATATTCACACCGTCACTGCTACAATCGCCTTATAACAACGGTTAGTTTCAGGTTACTTGATTCATTTCACCAATCATGATATCATTGACTTAGTCAACAATACGATGATGATATCTCTAGCCATGTTTGCGAACTGACGACGGTAAACCAAATGTACATGTACACGTAGGATTTCACATGTGCTTTTTATAAGTTTGCCGCTGGGGAATTTGGAGGGGGTTCACTGGGAGATCGGATGATCAAAATTGCCCATCCTGCAGAGAGAACGGGGATTTTTCATTCAAATCTTTTGTATGAAAAATTGGAGAGGCGCATGGAAGATGTGAGGAGACGACCAGCGTGAACTGTCGACTGTACTATTGCGTTACATGCAGACGCATTGTAGATGTCATGCACAGTACGTGTGTAGCCATCATCGTACACAACTTGCGGCGAAGCAGTACACTTATTGTGAAATTTCAACTGAGCGCAACAGTTTTTGCGCTCGCCAGGCCGGATAGGAATCTGCTTGTGTTGATGTTTGATGGAAGAGGCACCGAGATCCATCTGGGCCAAGGTGCGGCGGGCACGGGTCTGCCTCAGAAGGGACCTCTTCCCGGCGATATCGAGGCGAGGCACCCCTGTCCTGTACCCGGTCGGACATCAACCGTCGGACTGGGACTTACTGGCAGACAATGCAGGTTGTTGCAGGTCTTTGCAGGTATTCAGGCTGACGATACGTGGTTTGGGGTTATAGAAGGATTGCGACCAGTTTCTCCAGTTCTATGGCTGAATCTTACTTAAGCCAGCCCACATAGGGTTTATAAAAATTATATTGAAGTCCGGACGATTCAGGACTGTTAAGGTTTATTCAATTTGTTCATGTTTTAATCTTCTGCCTTAACTCATCTAGTCTAATCTTCTGTAAGTGGACGCAGGCACGAAATTACTTACAAGCATCGAATCTGGATTACCTTTAAGGCCTATCCGTTTATTCTTCGGATCAGCATCTTGCGCAGGTGTTCCCAGATATTCAGTATATAAAATGTTGCCGTGATCTTTCATTTTTGGTGCCCTTTGTTTTCAGTAAATAACTTTGGAACCTCGTGGCGAATCAAGCCCTGTATTCAGCCCCATCTCTAACCATTTCACTAGATGCCTTCATAGGTTCTACATTTCTTTATCTCGGTGACGAACAAAGAACAAAACTCATTTACCGTAGATCCACTGTTGCTTTTGTAGATGAGACAAATTAGTCAGCCACTCTGGTTCATGCTTTAGCATCCCAATACACACAGTATACATCAACGTATTCCTCTTATCTCTTTATTGAACCTACAATAAAACCCTAACTTTATGGTTTGGTGAACTCCCGCCATGCTAATTTAGCATACAAAAACGTAGCCATACACGGTTGCTTACCTACTTATACAAGATTATCGCTGTTCGTTTATTTGTTCGTTGTTATACACAATGCACAACAATAGCAACAGTGATATGCAGTAATAAATGCTGATGGATTTCTGATGTATACTGAACACCGTTCCTTGTCAGAAAAGGATCACATCACATCAAAAATGAACCAAGGACCTCAATTTTAGATTAATATGAACTTGTACATTATATTTCTTTGCAAAATACCAAATTGCATACTTGTTTACAACTTTCATAATATAAGGTTTGGACAAATTTAAGCAAGCAAACGATCATAGGCCTAAGCTACATTTTGCAAGAAATCTAAAAACAACATTCAAATTGTATTCTAAAACAAAGTTGAGACAAACATGAAAAATTAATAAAATTTAAACAAGACACACCATCCCCAGGGTTCTGTGCAAACAAATAATGTGTTGGACGGCCTCGGTCCGGACATCCCTATAGTTTTAGACTAGAAATCTCACCACTTCAATATTTATACCTTTGGTAACATAGCTGATGATTGACAGCACATAAATTATATACGCCAGGGGTCCATGTCAAAACACATTACTTCTCTCTCAGTCACGTTCAATGATATTAGCTTAATGACTCCGATGTTTAGTTTGCACTCCAAGCATCGTGTTCTGAAGGGAGTTATAGTTATGACTGTACCATCAATTAAATCCCAAATATGGTTTTAGTCATTTGTTGCTGGGATTGAACCATTTAAACCATTTACTGTTTTCGAATGTTCTGTACAGGGACATTTTCCAAACCAAGGGTAAAATGACAAATGAAGTACGTAGACGCCACTCTTTTAAACAAACAAATATTTTAGGGGGAAGTTGAGCAAAATTTGCTGGTAAATAATTTGGAAATTGGGGAAGTTGGGGCGCGTTCGGTGGTCTGTGTAATTTTTTACGATGATTATTCAGACCATGAGAGTAAAAGAATCACAAAAAGAGCGAGAAAAATGTTTTATTTCTATCCAGGAATTAATAGGCTGCTTTACGCTGAAACACTTGTACACACTTACCTAATTATGGAAAAGGCTTGTGTCGGTCGCTGCATGTTAACTTAGGCCATCCACAAACTAGACTACACAAACACGGAAAGAACTCTGGTATTAAAAACCAGACGACCACTCCAAAATGTGTCACTTTAACACCGCAGGTGTTACAATGCATTTGAGGATGTTAAAAGTAACACCAACAGTTTTGAAATAATAACACCAAAAGTTTTAACACCGGTGAAAAGTGTTGGAATGGTCCTGTTTATTTGCAGTGAACATGCATCTCGATGTTCGTTGTGCTGTCCAGTTATTAATCATCCAAGTCCTACACGCTCTATAAGTCATTCACCAGAATTCCACTTTTTGTGTCCGCTGCTCGTTCCAAGGACGAGTTCAGGGTTGGTAAAATTACAACAGCGAGTAATGTAGGCCCTAATTGGACCACTCCAGACCCATGCTATTTATGAACATGCGTTAAATGATGTGAACATGTCTAATGAAATCCATCGTGAAGTCTCTCCCACTCTTTGTGGTGAGCAAAACTTAAAGCGGATTGTGAAGAATTTTTCAGACTTCCAACGGCTAAAAACGAATTCAACATAACTCAAAAGGGAAACGCGTTAAAAAACCCAAAATATACCATTCTGAAATCATTACAGCTCTATTGTTAGCACTGACCTCTATAAATGGGTATATGGTGTAACACCCCCCCCCCTTTTTCAAATTTTCAAGGCTGGGCAAGTCCCCCCACACCACCACCTTTTCCCATTCCCCATTTTAGTTTTTATAGGTCTGTGCTTCTACTGACTTCAATGTTTGTGATGAGCTCCATGTTTTACATTTCTCTCTCCTTTTTACCAACAGGCTCGTCAGAGGTTCGAACACGCCATCAAAATGGTGATAATCCTTCTTCGCATACATTCCATGGTCTTCCAAAAGTAAGTCACTGCAGCTATCACAACTACTTTTCCTCACCTGAACGCAGGACTTTCTAAGACTTTCTAAAATTATCGTGGAGAGTATTTCACCCTCAATATATAAATTTGGAATGTTCTAAACAATTCGATCTCCCTCCATGTCATTTCCTTTGTGTACTGAGACATGCGCAATACCTCTACGGGGGCTCTTTTCAAGTCCAAGTGTCAAATTATACCAAAGCTGCCCAGCATATTCTGTAAAAAAAGTGGAAGGCCTTCAGAAATGAACCAAGCACCATAGTCGGCTGCACTAGTATTTGTAACTCTTACTATAATCCAATTGAGCGGTTTTCTTTGTGAACTGAAACATGCAGATTACGAAATGTTGGTATGTGCCCTTCAACTTGCTTTCGGTCCCCACAAAATACTGAACTGAGCAACGATTTATTTATTCATTATAATGGTTTCTGCAAAGCTGTTCAACATTAACGATATATCTTTGAGTAATTTTATGTTTGTTTGCTTGTACTACTCGCCACAAACAGCGGAATGGGAAAGTAATGAACGTTACAGCTGATAAATGTTTTGTACAATCTGACTGAGGTCAGTGGGGAAGATCGAAAAGGCTGCTGGGAGAATCTGACAGGAAAATTAAATAAAACTTGATATCATATGTCTCAGAAATATTGGCGTATCCGTTGGTCATGCTGTTGCTGTCTGTTTTTATTATTCATTTATCGTCTTTTAGACAAATTAAGTGAGAATTACCCTTCCATTTATCTCATTGGGGCATCGGAGCAGAGGTAACCAGTTAAACGGACCGGATAACTAAACGTATGCTTATAGATCCCATACGGAATGGAGTGACCTTGAAATAGGAAGCCGTTTCATAGAATTGGAGGACAATTGAGCTGTCTCTTTAATCTGTTCTTCAATCTTTTAAAAGGGGTCATTTCCAGCGTTTTTCTTTTTCATAGTATCAATTGGGTACGGCCTACCACTTCGAAAAATATCCAGTTAAACTCAACCAGCTGAAATTCTTTTCACGATCTTTTTTAACACAGGAGTAAGCTCTGCCTGGATTGATTCACCCGGGCGTATAGCAACCTTTTCAAATTCGCTAACGTCGTCGTGCAGAACAAGCGCTCAGATAGAAGTCAATATTCATTTTTCGGCGCATTCATCAGCGGACCCGTCTCGCCACTCCATTCCCATTTCCCGCCTTCGCGCTCATTTTGTACTCTTAATTAAAAATAGACGAGACCATAGTGCTTGTTGTTTGCTTTGAATTAAACTTAATTGGCATTCCGCCACATAAATCAACTCGATATGTCGTTTTGGAATGAGAATTCAGCAAAATCGTGTCCAAAGCTTTGCCTCAGAAAGAGCCTGTTGCTATTCAAACCGAAAAAAAGAAAATTGCAATCACGTTTTCAACGATAGGAACAATTAATTTCTGCCATCGCCGTAGCAACCAGAAAATATGGCGCCGTCGTTCCACTCGACTGGTTATCTGTCTTGATAATCATGACAAACGGCCGCGGCAGCACGCTCTGAAGTCTTTTGCACAGAACACGGTGTACATGATTAAGCGAGCGCAGGAGGAGTGTGCCATGGCTACCCATTGGTCACTCCTGGTCGCCAAATATTGACTGACTGGTTGACCTCGAGTAAACATTGTTGACCATTAATCTTGTCAACGGCTTGGGAACACACAACATGTAACCATTGATTAACCAGAGAGCAGATTTTGAAAAGAATTAAGCAATAAATATAGCAACAAGTGAATGCATTGATAATCAGCTTTTGTTAAGCAGCCAAGTCGCTCCTTCATCAAAACCAAGTCAAATCCTGCACCATTTTTCTAATAATTTTCGAAGAATTTCCCATTTATGTATTGTAACTGTAGGATTTCTTAATTAATAAAACCGTCTTGCCTCGAAACGGACGCCCATGACCTTGAGTGAAATGAAACTGCCGCTGGGCGGTTCTCCAACTTTGTCTTGAGTCCTATTGATGAGTTGTTCCGTTTAGATTCGCGAGGTTTTATTTCAGTTTCTATATCATCGGCTTGAAGATTGTCATTAAATCCAGCTACCCTAAATGTTGGAATAAATAATTGCATGGATTCAACTTGGGTCTCGATCTTTCAGACGCAAACACGATAACAACAAGGAAACCATGACCTTCACTGAGATCGCAGAACAATTCCAGTCAGCAGATATGAAGAGCTCAGGACTCTCGTTTGACCCGAGAGATTTCAAGGCGAAACGAGAGGTGAGAACGAGATTTATGGCATGGTACATTTTTATACCATTCTGTTAGCACACAAAGAATTTCAAATTCTTGACCAGGCATAGCCTACCTTATATAAGACACAGGCGAAATTGCCTGCTTATTTTGCGAAATATAAACGGGGATTTGAATGTTCGTTCTATTTCGCTCGAAAACGAATGCTGTTATTACTAGCTATTATTAATTGATTTACACATTTTCCGAAAGTGGCCGGCAAAACCTATTGTAACTTTGTCTCATCTCTCTAGAAGACAAAGTCTTCCTAACCAGAAGTTATACTCTAAGAAGTGTTTAGTTGATTGGTTAAATGTTTGAATATTCATGATTGAAATAAACCATTCATGTCGTCTTTGGAAACGTACCGACGATTGTACGAATCCTATTTGTACACCGAGGCTGAGGGAACCTTCCTTCTTGTGCTACGTTTTTGCCACAATCACATCATACAGGGAAGTTGAAGTTCACACATACCTTCTTGCAATGGTTGAAATGGGAGGTACACAAAAATCACAAAGACCTTAATTTGTGTACACTTTATAATCCTTCCTGAGTAACATCAAAGTGGTGTCATAATTTGTTTAACCTTGTATCGTCTAATCAAATTGAACATATATTTTGCAATTTGAATTACAGCAAATGCAAATGAATACTCAATGTGAAGAGTCATAGTTGAAGACATATTTTTGGCGTACAAGAACGCACATTTGTTATTACTGTCAACGAATACGTCAAACCGAAATTCCAATCACTTATTTGAAACCGCTTAAATGCAAGGTAATGCACATTCATTTATTTGAAGGATGCAAAACGAAGTTAAATTCTTGTTATTTCGAAACGGAAACCAGGGGCCAATTTCATAGAGCTGCTTAAGCACACAATTTGCTTAAGCGTGAAAAAAACCTTGCTTAAAAACAAAGGTTACCAGCTCAAACTCCATGTGATTGTCATGCTAACCAAAAGACAGCTAAACACAACCCCAAAACAATATACATCGTATGGAGTTTTGGCTGGTTAACTGATTTATCAAGTAAGGTTTTCTCGCACTTAAGCAAATTTTGCGATTAAGCAGCTCTATGAAATTAGCCCCAGGTTTTAAGTCGTGTCCGACATCTACGCCAATTTAATTTTTATTTTACAAATTAATTGCGCGTTTTCCTATATTAGTTTCTGTTTTTACATTTTAGAGGTTGATATTCAAACGAATTATAAACTTACAGCAAACTGTTGATTTGTACATTTCAAGATTCGTTGAACTTGGATCGTATCTTTCAAAATTAAACAATTTCTTATTCTCTTTTTGCGCAGATCAACATAAGCAATGAAGCGAAAAACATACTGAGCATGCCCACTTACTGCAGAACACCAGAACAACTACAAATTGTAGGCACCGTTTGTTTTATTCCTCGTTTTTGCTTGTAATATTTAAGTCAGTCGTGACAGTTTTCCTGTGAAGTCGAGGTAATGTCTAAGATTAGTTCTTATTCACACATGTTGAAGCCAAGGGCATCCAGAAATAGGAAGGGCAATCTAGTATTTTTCCAACGGCTCAATTCTGTGAATTTGCATATTTACATATTTGACAATTTATTTTGAGCCCTTCATCTGGCATATTATCTAGTCTAAGAGAGTTGACTCCGTTTCATTCCTCAAATGCTGTGTTTAGAGTCAAATGTCTCGAGGTAAACCTTTGGGAAAACTCAGTTCCGGAGAAAATATCGTGCCACAATTTCAAGTACGTGTTGTAGATATTTTTGAATAAGGAAACTGGCTGTCTAGTTGTCCACACTCCCAGACGTCAGCTTCACCACGCATTATTGCTCCCTAGCTCCGATTGTTCTCATTCGCCGAGCAAATATTTGATCCGGCGGGTAAATTCGGCCTGTAAACATCGGGCCCACGGTGCTACCTTTTGTCCATCGTTGGCACATTGTTGACGAACAGTAGAACAAACGGCCAATATTAATAGTCGGGGAAAGTTGTAAATGGTCGCTTCAAAGAAAATGTCATATAGGTGGGACACTCGCACAGTCCACGTTTTAAATGATTTGCTGTTAGTCCATGTTTTTTGTTCCTCAAAAACTAGCAGCAGCCTGGTACCGTGTTCTTTATCGAACTCCAGACTTTAAATACAGGTAATTTTAATTTTTAAAGTGTCAAAATTGAATGTGTCCGTTTGTGTTTTTGATGTATTAGGCATTGTACGGTTTGCAGACCATGAAGTCCTTCGCTGAATATCCACTCCATATGCAGGAAAAATTGGTCAAAGTCGCCTGGTTTGAATGGTAATTTTCTATCGTGTTTTTGATAGGATAATTCTCTACGAAAATTGCCAAATGGCATAAAATATGCAAAAAGTCTTGAGCTAATTTTGAATCTCTTATCATCTTTCAGTGTTCCTCCCAAAAGAGTGATCATTCGTCAAGGACACTACGCCGAAAACTTCTACTTTGTTATATCTGGCTCAGGTGAGCAAATTCTCCTCATTAGGTTCACGGACAAATTGATAACAGGTAAACTGGGTTATTACAACCCCGTATGTCCAAGGTTTTTGTATAAGTGTTTAATGTTACACGGTATCCCAACAGAAGGTTTTTATAGTAGTTTCTTTGAAATGTACCTGAACTGAATACAGAAACAAAGGTTGCTGGTTCATCTGACTCGAGCGTAGAGTTAAAATCCTCTTCATGTTTAATTCTAAATGATTGCCTATAATAATCAAGAGTAACTCAAAGGAAATATAAAAAAGGAGACCTGCATTTAAACACTTTTGCCAGATGACAGTGTCTTCCTTATTCCAAACTCTATAAGGATTATCCAGAAGGCTGCAGTTTAGGCACGAGCGTAAGAACTAGCGTCAACATAATATGCGAGGCTTAAGCCGCGCTAAGATTGGGAACACTGGTGCCCAGGCCTAAATCGGGCTCTATCTGCTCTCAACCATACAACCAAATTCCCTGTTTCAAATCCGAGCAGCTGTTGTGACGATCATGGAGACGAAGGAGACAGGTGAACCGCACATCCGCACCGCCGCTGTGCTGCGCAAGGGAAGCAGCTTCGGCGAGTTAGCGCTCCTGCACCATTCCAAGCGCACGGCCACCGTGTCGAGCCAAGGGGAGGTTCAGCTCCTGGCCATCGGACGGGAGGATTTCTTCGACATCTTCATGAGGGGACAGCAGCCCGGGGAGGAGCCTGAACATGTTAAGTTCTTGAGGTACAGAGCACGAATATGCCGCATGAAGCGGGGTTTGACACAAGACTTTTTAAAAAATCTATTTTACTGTATTTATTCAGGTTAAGTTTTTTGTCAGTTGAGACCGCAATGAAAATAAGTTAATTTAACTTTTTTTTTGCGTATTTCCACTTTTGGGAATTGTTGGGTTTGCTTTTCTTTAATTTATTTTTTGTAATAATATTTTGTGGGAATAGTGAATAAATCAAATTTAAAAAATCGAAATCAAATCTAGACGATTTCGAGCCTCTTCTTTGTATTCTTGTCTACCCGAGTCAACCGTCAGCAGACCCAGGTCAGATCGAACTCGGGTCGAAAAGGCATGCCTTTCACTTCAATACCTACTTGTGCACTGGTCGACCACAATCTCTCCGAAGTGACACCAGTACAGCCAATCCCAACATTCAAACGACCTTGACAGTACTTCAAAGTTGTAAACGGGGCAAGATTAGGTCAAAATATATCTAAATCCCAGTTTGCTTGTGTGATGGTCAACTTTATACAAGTGCCACATCAAGTCGTTCTTGAGGTGAAGTTGCCAGCTCTTGAAACTAACTATCACAAATGCCTTCCTCTGTATGTTCGCCGGCTTTTTTATGAGTAACGTGTGATTTACACTCGGCTTGTTGGTTCAAATTTAATCCACTGATTGATTTGCCCTTTGCAGGCAACTCCACTTCATGAAGCACTGGCCGTTAGAGCGGCTGATTGAACATCCAGAAATGTGTCTCTTCCATTTCTACAAGTAAGATTTCCACAATAATGTACATGTATTAAATGCTGTATTCCTTCCTTCAATCTTTCTGTTGTCACCCATTTGACAGCCTTCAATCGTCTGCCTCTTTAGATCGTTCCAAGGGTAATTATGACGACAAAGTGTAACTGGTTGCAGCCGTGCCATCTATTCTATTCTTATTGTAATGCATACCCGAAATGACATATATCAAATCTGTTGTCAATTTAACTATTTTGTTAATTTGTTCTTTCTGCAGACGCGGACAGGTCATTGTCAAAGACAGCAATAAATCAGACTGGATTTATGTCGTTAAATCAGTGAGTAAAATAATGGCATTTCTGTTCTCATTGTAAGTCGTAACATTAATACTCAAATATATCGTTTTGACAGTGCAAGCATCGTGCCCTGCTCAGCCCAGTAGGCAAATAGGCCAACAACCTAGTATTTTTGGACATTGAAGTCTTCGACAAGACAATTCGTGGTAATAAAGTCAGAATGCAGATCCTACCTATCTAACTATCAGTGGGATATCTTGTTAGCTGCATGCAAACGTTGTCTGGAATTCACACGAAGAAATTAAACTTCTCTTTACAGGGGTCTTGCCAAGTACTGAAGCAACTACACGCGGTGAAACCTAGCTTACCTTACCGGTCCAGCTCACTGAGTTCGATCAGGCTTCCTAAGCTTCACTCAAGACACCTGTCAGGTGGGTGTGTACATCTTGCGCTTAAAGGGTAGTTGCAACTAATGTCTCTCAAACTCAATTTTGAGTTTGATCTTCATGCTATCCTTCAATGTATGAAAATTATTTGACATCTGTTTTCGGTTAAATGCATTGAAAAGTACAAATTAAATATTGCTCACGCTTTCCTAAACAACCGAGGGCGCTGTTGCTGTGATGTCATCAAGAGAAGACATGTTTCGGTGCATTGTTTTTTTTTTTCTTGTTCAAATCGTGAACCGAAAATGAAATAAATACAAACATTTCTGACAAAGGGTTGAATGCTTGCACGTTGCCATGTGCTGTACCTACAGAACAATGGATCACTCAAGAAAAGAAAATTGAGACCAGCAAAATCCGATAACAATGCAGCAGACTCACAAAGGAGACAACGATTTATTTTTTCTTGGATGGTCAATTGTATTTTCAGTTCTGCTCTCTAACTATGACAGAGTGTTTCACATGCACTTGTATTGTAGGAACAAACCTGCCGATGCCAGGGTACTAGTTAGCTACCTCGGCCAAAGTTTTTTGTTGAAATTGAGATCTTACCCTTTCCAGCACCCGAGTTACCCTCGAAGCGACCAGCGAGGACGCGGATACGGAACAACAGTGCCACAGCGTCTTACTTGCAGTTCATCTCTGTACCTACAATGTCTGCGATGAATACAGCTCAGTTTTCGGAGGCGGATAATCATCTGGTAAGATGAAATTATTATTTGTTAACTGTCAGAAAAACAATATTTAAAACAAAAGAGAAAAAGCATTTAAATTTTTTTATTGAAGTTCCTGACCAGTTTCTTTAACAGTTACTTCAGTGAAAAAAAATGTAAGGAAGAAAATATAATTTTGTTACTTTCCATCGCAGTTGGTGAACGATCCATTTGAAGGTACTCAATCGCTACCAGATACATTCCTGACTAGACAGAAGACGACTATTGATAGGAGGAGCACGCCCTCAGAGTCCAACTTTAGCCAGTTCACTCCCTACGAAGACACCTCACTGACCAGCTTGCCCAGCATCAACAGCAGGCGGGGAGCCACGCCCTCCAGGGAGTCCTACTCCAGGAGCAAATTCCGGGAGATTGCTCGGAGAAACCCACCACCCCCAGCTGACAGGATGGTACGGAATGTGATGTCTTAGAAAGCGAAACCTGATAGCAGACAGGAAAACATCTCATACTGATGACACTATTTGCTTAGCGAATACAGGGTGCTAGAAAAAACTGTCAAGCAGTATGCAGTGCTTGTGCTCAAGTCTCCAACTGATACTGGCTAGGAAACAAATTTGCTAAGGAATTTCCTGTTGAAATGTACACAGGTCCTGGATGTTCGTAGAGTCCCAAACGGCGTGGTTCTTTGCGTTTAGCGATGTGAAAATTCTCAAACCTGTCCGTCGCTTAACACATGTCACTAAGGGACAAATCTTGCAGCCCTTTTAAAATATCAAGGATTTTAGGAGACATCAGCCTATGACTGAGGTAGGGTCTTGATGTGCGACCCAGGATAATGCCTGGGTTGATATTACGCCCGTGTTCAACTTTCAACAATGTTGCATTCTCAGCGGTTAAGTTCAATCCGAAATTGATCCCTTTGTCTACATGTCCAGTCATGCGCGCCCAAGGTGACGGTGACCGATGACCACACCAGCAGCGACTCGTCGTCGTCATCTGACTCCCGAGGCTCCGTTTTTGTTCAGCTCGAGCTTCTCCTTCCAAAAGATGTCTTTGTAAGTAAGAAGCATCCAAAATACAACTCCAAAGAAGGTGTATATATGATCAGCGATCAAGTTAGATAGGGAATGCGTGTTCACCGTAGCCAGGATTTGTGGAGTCAAACTTTTTTCTCAATTTTTGCTGTTAGGCCTATGTTATGATTTTGACCAATGAACCATTTTCCCAAAATCATTTCAAGAAGATCCTCTACCATTATCTAATAAAACCACATTTCTGTTTCCACTCTGTAATGTCTAAGTCCAGTGTGATTGAAATCGACAGGATAGCATCAAGAAAACGCGAAAGACAGGACTTTCTTCAAGCTGTTTTGCGCGTATGAGAGCACTTTTTACAACTAGCAAAGCTCAGTGGTTTCATTCCAATTGAACTCGTAACTTTGTGTTCTTTGTCACATTTTTCCTGTAGGGTCTATCAACTTTGAACGTTGATCTGGGGATTGACCATGAACAGTCAAGTGTTAATCTGGTGGGTATATGATGAACAACTTATTGTTTGGTGTCCAGACTACCGACACAGATTCGTGGTTTGTGCACCAAGTGAATTTGCTGGTTAGAAGAATTCTCTTGAAAGATTTCAGAGGAACTTCTTGATTACAACTTCTTGATTGATGTTTTTGTAACTGTGCAGGTGAGCAGAGGCGCCGAATGCATCATGATCCAGAAAGACTTCTTTGCCAAATACTGCGCAGACGAAGCCAAGCGGCACATCCGGTCAATCATCAAGCCCTACCCTCCCCCGGAGCTCCTACAACACAATCTCCAGAACCATTCCAACTGGACCAACTACAAGCAGGAGGCCGTAGCTAACATACTGAGGGACAGATTCAGGACCAAGGAGTTGAGATTGTAATACACGGAGTCTTGAAGAACTTGAGACTGGGAATCGATTTCATCCAGCTGAAACCACGGACCATGCTGAAACCAAGCAAATATAGTATAATGTATAGTGGTGTTGGGAGAAATTGGGATCGTACTTGCCCTTTTGTAAGAGAATCGATTCCGATTCCTCTCCCTTGAGACTCGATTCGAGAAAGCGCCTATACAACCCTGAAGGACTGTCGACTCAAATGGTTCACCGAATCTTCTTTTTTTTATAAAAAGGGTCAGAAGTTATAAGTCGTCATTGGTTCTACGACGGCGTCATTTCACTTTCGTCCTTACAATTTACTCTCTAAAAGTTGAACGAGCTGTAAAAGTATTCCAAACTATGAGAAAATTATGTAAAAAAAGATAATCAGAATAATGACTTTCTGGACAAGACAGAATGATATTGTGTTCCATAATTTGTCAGCTGCTCTTGGTAGATCATTGATAGGCCTAATAATATTGCGCAGTACAAACAATTTATCAACAGAAATGTTTTATTTGATTTTGGATACTTGATTATAGTTTTTAAAAAGTGCAATATGTATTATGAAGACTTCGCAAAAATACAACTCGTAAATATAAAAATGTTATATATATAATATGCTATTTTTCGCATTAAAATATAAACTCGGCTGAGTCGTTTGATATATTGTACATGATTGAATTGTCCTTTTTAAGAACTTGACACGTCTCAAGATATTTCCCTTTTGCCCTTTTCCAATTCTGTACTTGTCCATCCGTGATGATATCGACCGTTCCAAAATGACTGGTTAACTTCCAATATCTGGGGTGAGATTGACCAATGATAAAAATAGCTGAAAACAGCTGAAAAAAGGCATTAAAAAGCTGAACTGTGAAAATCTATACTTTTGTACACAGCCAGTGAGGAAAAAAAGCTGAAATCCAAATTAACAAAAAAAAGCTAAAATCGGCTTAAAAGCTGAGAAATCTCATCCCTGCAATAGGCCTATCCTCCCAAAGATCAACTAGATTTTTTTCCATTTTATGATTTTTCATTTTATTATCGAATTTTCATTCATTAACCATGACTTTTGAACACGTTTTTTCAACAGTTTTTCACAGAAGGGCACCACTAAAAAGCAGTCGTGAAGCCCCTCGCCAATTTTGAAAAATCGATGCCTACACTTCTTCAAAAATAGACCGTTTTCAGGTACCGATTTCTTCCAAATCTCACTCAGACATAAGCTGGCATTGTTTTTGGTTGCCTTAACCAGTCATTTCTTCAAATCGTCAAGTTCATGGACCAAAATGCTCTATTTCATAGAGAATTTAAGTACATACAAATTGTGATTTGGCTTGCGCAAGCAGTGTTCGGCCTATTTACCGGCCTGCACCCTGAAGGCTTCAAGCACAAGTGCGCCCTCAACGGCGACAATAAAAGGCACTCGAACGCCACTGTCACAAGATGCACGACGCTAAGACCTTGTGCACATTCTGATGAAAATTGCTCGTCATTCCAAGCAACACGTGTGCGTCCCACACGCGCAGTCGCCGTGTCAAGCGAGCATGGGCTTCATTGAGCCATTTACTGTCCTTACACGAAATCTGAATTCCCTTCGCAGTTTGAAATTTAGTAGAAAAGTGCCTGTACAGCAGTCCCGATGATGCTGATGGTTACACAGAGAAGTGTGGCAGGGGTGTCTTGTGGCTGTGTCGGTCAATTAACTTCTGCATTGTGTGCAATTTAAACTCGTCCCAGTCTGTCTGCTCCTGCAACTTCTCCTGAAGCCTCGCCTCCGAGGGGTAGGGACGCAACTGTAAACCGATTAGACAGGTACATTAAACTGGTGCCTCCGAAACCAGTAGGACCTATGACCGCAAGATCAGACACAAGACAAGGTACAAGACTAGTCACAATAACATTTTTGTTAAATTTGGGAGTGGAGCATTGTGGGGAACGGAGAATGACTTGCCCAGCCATAAAAATCTGGAAAGCGGAGGGGGGGTGCTGATACCACATGACACTCTATCAGAGGCAGTGTTCATGATACAGAGGTATATCTATAATATGAATTACATTGCCTTCCCCTCTTAGAGTGCTATTGTATGCGTTCTAGTTGTTGGGAAGTCCAAACAATTCTTCACGATCCGCTTTAATGTGTTTCTCACGAGGAAAAAGTGGGGGATGATTCAATAGCTTATCCCCCAGTGAAAAATTGTTGGGGGATCTATACTCCATACCCCTGGGATTTATGCCCATGGACAAAGGAATGCTATTGCTATTGATTTGAATAGCTTGCGTTGTGATTTTGATTCAGACTAAGACGCTTTGACTTGACTTTAACACTGCATTTTGTCAAAGGGATTTGGTTTCACATAATGGCCCAAAAGATCCCCACAAAGGTAAGCAGAAATTTGGATAAACAGTACACGTGTTCCTAGCTCTATGGTCAAACATACTGTTCGTCTTAGAGACTTCTTGTGATCTTCACTGAGGTGTTGCAAAAAGAACCGCTTAGATACAAGGACACACTCGGCTCCGTCTGACACCAGTGTGACGCTGGGGGCGCACTCTCTCTCGCCGAACACGAGCGGATGTAAACCCTGAAAGTTCGAAGGAGAAAACTAGGTGGGATTATCTCCATGCTCAAAGACTAGCGTCTTTTAGCGGTCAATGTCTCAGTAACCGCGAAATGTAATTTTGACTTAGAAGAGAAATCTACATTGCTCGCTGAAAAGTAGGGTCCATTATTGATTCTGTCAGGAAACGTGCGCCCCGTTTTTGCCGTAATCATTGTCATACTGATTTCAAGACTAATCCTACTCCACCAGCAAAGAACTTACGAACGTTTCTCGCTCTGTGAGTTTCTGAACCTGAATGAAAACAGCCCTCTCTCCAGCCTGGGAAGCACACTCCTGCGGCTCCAACTGCAACCGATCGATCTTGCCTTGAATTTCATTGAGGTGTGTTTCCTGTGTGGTAAAAGTATATTGGCTGCCTTGAACGAAATTGCAAGGATGGCAATCAGATTTGATTCCCAACAGTTTGAAAAAGCCACGATATCCGTCGTACTTTCTACTACTGGGTGTCAGATACCCTGGGTCCATATTACACGGAATCCAGGTCTAAATACGAATTTTCTGTGTCAAAAAGACCTGGGAAAGTACCGGAATGACTCAGAAGAGGGTAATGTTTTAACCCACGATAAGGTAAGGCCCTAGAGTAGGCCTACCTGCAATCCGGGTAATCTGTCCCAGGGTTTTAGAGTGTGGTAATTAAAATCGGTAACACTCCTCTGGCCCATACAGAAATGAAGTTATGGTATAGACAATATGCAAAGTTACAAGTAATCTGGATCTAAATACTCTACGTCAATAATGACGTCAAGAAAGTCACTTGGGATATAGGACTTGGCCTTACCACTTCGTTTGTGTAGGCTGCAGATGCTACTTGCAAGATGGGAGCAGAAAATGCAGCAGGTCCTGCGAAATTTTGTATAATATGAAAGTTTTCGTACTATTAAAATAAATCACAACAGATTCCATGATACAGATTACACCTTGTGGAAAAGAAGAAAACCAATTCCACACGCAGTTGTGGTCGAAAGTTTACATGCCGGAATACTTACATGTGAAGAAAAGATGACATGTTAGGCCTAAGTCCAAGTAGAATAAACTTTCTACACAACTGTAAACTTTTTCCACTTCAGTTCTCTTGGATCTTATCAGTTGTCATTGGCAAACACTAAAGAAATAATCAACGTGTCAGGTTTTGATTATAAATGAAAGGAGGGGATTTCAGTGCTCTGACAAAATGACTGACTGGCAAATTGGCAAACATGCTTAAGCCTGTTACTCTGAAGGACCATTTTGCAAAGATGACGAGTAACATCCTCTCAGATTTTTACTACGATAAACGTCGACAGCGGGACATGGTCTGTTTTTTGTGCAAGTACACGGTCAAAAAATGGTGAAAAGTTGGGCAATACCGATTCCAACTATTGATCTTTGGCTACGCAACTAGTGGTAGGCCTATCTTGGGGGGATTACCCATGGCCAAATGTATGGCGATTAAGGTCACACAGTATAGGCAGCTGACATTTCGACCTTGGTAAATATTGCGTGTGGGCCCACCGGTGTTTAAATGTATGCCATGACAAATAGTAGTAAATGGGCTCACTTGTCTGGGGTTCGCGTGCTATATTTGGCAACCTGGCATACTTGCTGGACTGGCTGGATTCTTTCCGGGATCTGGCTTGTCGGGGCGGTGGCGAGACACAGCATTGGTGACTGCCCTTCCGCGTTGAGACTACGGATTATCACGAAAGAAGAAACGTTTTAGCAATTGCTTGTTTGCAGTGATTGTACGATACGGACTTTGTGCTCTAGAGCTCTTGAACAGATCAAGACATGTTGCAATATTCTGCCTATTCTGACGTCATTGATTGAAAAACTCAATTAAAATTAAACAATAATCAAAAGGCATCTCTAGAAATTATTCAAAACAAATGCAGGATTATTAATTTCTTAATGGAAGGACTTGGACCATTTTGTCCAAGGCAATTTTAAGTCTAATTTCTTGTACCCAGAGCCAGCAATCTTCTTAATTTGTTTCAATGATTTTGCATTTTAAAGTTCCTTCAAAATTATAATGATACCTTTAGCACTTTGCTGCTTGTCGGAGTGGGTCATTTCAAACACATTCATGAGATCTGCTCGAGCCTTGAATAGTCGTTTTGGTGCCTTCAGTTTCTTAAGCACACGGCATGTCCCCTAAAAAATGATGGCAAAATTAGAAGAGAAGTAACAGTGGACACTCTAAGTTTTACAAAAATTCGAGCAATACCACAAAAATAGAATTATAGAAAAAAGACAGTATTTGTGTTTTAAACCATTAAGAAGCACTTCACATGTTTCCTCCCTGCGAAGAAGTATATCCTATTGCAGTCATTAGGATGTGAATCCTGATATAGCACGATCGACTCACCGTTTTGACTACATAGATCCAGTCGGACGTGTTACTGTCTTTACATATCACTACGCCTCGCCGGAAGTAAGTGAACAAGCACACGCTAGGTTTGTCGTGTGGAAGTCTATACACTGGCCATCCCTTCAGCTCGTCGATTGTGCGCAGGTAGCGGATAAACTCTGGTTCCATGCCTTCGTTGCGATGCATAAAGATGTCTTTGAAGTCCTGTGTTTTCATGATGATAACAGAACTTGGAACGATACTTTTAAATTCATCATTTTTCCTTTGACGTGATTCGCACTGTCTGTTTTTTTTGGGGGGGGGATTGGGCTGAGCGTTACGCAGTTTAGTAGAATTCTCTGTCGGCAAAAATGTTGTTAAAACTTTAAAATTGTGACATTTAGAACAACTTTAAACCGCACATAGGAAACACCTCTAAAATTTAAACTTTTCCCGATTAATTTAAGTTGATTTAGGAACCTTAGTGTTTACAAATAAAGTTTAGAGGGAATCTTGCCACATCTTAATATACGTCAGTGTAGTTGGTTAGAGTGGATAAGTATGCACATGCCTAAGTTTCAAGCATTCGGGTGGCAATGTAAAAAGTACATAAAGCCCATTGTCATCGCTCCGTAGGCCTACCTCCCTGCCTATGGAGAGAAGCTCTACTGTGCCCTCGCAGTACACCGTAGCTTGTCTGGTCGAGTGGTGCATGAGTGCCAACTCCTGTCAAAGAAATCACAATTCTGTTGGAGAATTTTCTTATGTCAGATTTCACTTCTCTCATATTTTCACAGAGAAAAAGCTCACTCCAACTGACTGAAACAGTTCAGTTGGGTACATGTACATGGAACAATGTTGTAAGGGGTCGTTGACGTCTGTGACTTGAGCCGAGCAATTTGTTTCCCTTGACTCGTCCGACTCGAATTAATTACCCATCGTAACTTAATTAAGTCAAGTTGCCAAAAATGTGACTCAAGTTGGACTCGGGTCGTTCGAGTCATTGTAACTCTACACTGATTTCCTTTCAAACTCCTTTTATGGAAAGTCAGAGTTGATTCGCAGGGGCGTTGCCACGGGAGGGGGGCTGGGGCACGTGCCCCCCTTCCCCAAAAGTTCTCGGTGCCCCCCCCCCTCACTGGTGCCCCCACTTAAAAAAAAAGATGAAGGGATATTGAACAAAGCTAACAAATGCTTGCCCCCTAAAAACCACACCATTGAAAGCTGGTGCTCCCCACTAGTGAAATCCTTTTTACGCCATGCACTGTTGATTCACCCTAAATCGTCTAGTTCCAAGTTTCAGTAGAAATTTCATTCTTATCTTTGGAAGTAAGAGAGTTGGTTTTCTGTTGGCTTCAATACTTGCCTAAATACTGGTTCCCATGAGCTGACCACTCACCCCAAAACTGTTCCCTCGTTTCAAAAACGCCACCCTTCGGACGGTAGGCTCTGACGTCTCTGTGTCACGTGACGATATAGTGACCACTGAGGTGCCAGAGAGCATAAGGTAGAAACTCTCTGCCTTGTGGCCCTGTCGTATGATCACACGCTTGTCATCGAAACTGGAAGAGAAATTACAATGGACAATATACACGACAACTTAAAATCGTAACGATGGAATGGATCAACATATGCGGAGATCTCTGAGAAGTTGGGTTGGCCCTCTATACATGTGGTGCTAAAGTAGAGTTACAAGTAAGCAATGTGAAAAATGCTGCCCTGCATGAAATGAAGAATTCTGAAATTGCTCATTTGGTAGGTCCATGGTACAGTCTATAATCTAAAATATTTAAAACAGAGGTGCACAACCTCTCTGTGGTTAAGATCAAAACGTCAGATCAACTGACCTTTACATAACAGTCTTTTGCAAAGGTATGACTATAATATACTTGGTTCTTACAATGGTGAAATGGGGCTTTGTACCTTTTTTTTTTTACAATGCCAATGGTTTCAGTGCACGTGGACTTGTTACGGTGTGACATGGTGAAATAGACATGTTCAACGATGTGGCTTACCCTACCTCTCATACCAACCGACCATGGCCAGCGACTCTTGCATCTTGATCGGGAACTTATCGAAGGCCTGTACAGCATTCTTCAGTGCAATCAAAGCCTACAAGATTAATGTACAATTCTATATGCTCATCACACAACAAATAGGATATTGTGTCAGATCGCAGAGTCAACTATAAATCAGACGCGTACCTATAGTGAGGGGCGCATGAAACCATAAGACGAACGCACAAACCTGGCCGTATGTCATTTAACAGTACCGGTAGTGGACCTAACCAGGTGCACCTTATACAAAGGATAAAATTAAGATATTTTGGGATTTTATTTTTCCACAGAAGCTGCCTTAGGGGCGGGTAAATTATTGTAGCTTTTTATGAATATCAAAACCATTATTCTAGGCACTGGGAATATCGACATCTGCATGCATCAACTGTAATAAAGTAGTCACCCCGTAAGAGGGCTTCCACCCAGGATCTCATACCTTTGACCAAATTCTTCAACACGCAGAGAGAAACTAGTTATCTATTTCAGAATTCATTTCACGGTCCTGTGACATCATTCATTCTTTTCCCCGAAATAATACAGAACGAGAGCCAGAGACGCTATTCCAGTAACTCACATTGGATACTCCAGACGTCAAATTTAATTAACCTCAACCACAGGACAAAACCTTCCCACACAGCTCGTTGGTCTACTCCAAAGGCCAAGGTTTTTTTTAAATCTTTTATATATTCCCAAGAATAATCATTTTTTTATTGAAGCACCCTTCCATCATCATTTATACCCTGACAGCCTCGTGACCCGGTTTTTTCTCCGCTTTTGCACAAGTGCTCAGCCAATATAAGCTGCATGGTACCAGTCAGAGGTTTAATGAACATCGCATGGAATTTGGCTTGGTAGCCTACTTTTGCTAAGCCGAAATTCTCTGTGCCTATAGAGGGTGCCGGAAATTATAGTCCCCGGTGTTTGGAAGTCGCGAGTGCAACGGGAAAGAGCCAACCAAATGGCAGGGTGTGATCACGTGAGAGGATAATCGACCAATGAAAATGTGATTTGTTTCTTAAATCAATCACACACTGAAGTATACATTTTGATATAAGGAGTTGCTGTGCTTACCAAATGGACCTCGTCAGCGGTTCGCTCGCTTGGATACTTGGTGAGGATTCGTTTCACTTCTGTGCTAAGCTGGACCTGCAGGAGGTAGTAAGTCGGAACACGGCGCATGAAAGGACACAAAAAGTTGTCAAGGGGATGCAAAAACTTCATGCCAAAATCCTGAACATTGCGGGTGTTTGCGGATTTAGACCGTAGTTTTATAAAAAGAATTCGAATTATGGTTATATTCAAAATGAAAGTGTTAAGGTGAGTCATACTCAGCGCGAGAGCGAACGAGAGCGGGAAATTGTGATCGAATCAAATGTTCGCGTTGCGAATTCGGAAAAGTTGAACACATTTTCGCATTCGCCTGAAGTATAAACCGCCCGGCCCTAACAAAATAATCAGTGGGTTGCTAGAAATGTTCCATTACACCTTGAAAAGGACCTATTATGCTATTTTTAATTTGTGATCGCTTGATATCAGAATCCTCCTTAAGCTACACTTCGGCTACATTGATTTATGTTTGTCGGATAACAATTTTATTCCACTCGAAAATCATATTACAGGAAAGGTTTGGTTACATGTTTAAAAACGATTTGTCCAGTTCATTGGAGCTTTCATTTTACCTCTTTTTGGACCTTGAAGTAGGCTGGGTCAAACACCAGGCCTGAGTTCCGCAAAGCTCCCAAGCCATCAAGATCGTCCTGAAACCCTGCTAAAGAACTTAGCTCCGGTAGATGGGTGTCACGACTGAACCTACATGTAAGGGGTATAATGGAATTCGCCATGAACTTACTGATGACGTCACGGAGAAAATACAAGGAAAGTGGCCAAGGGGTAATACTGGGCTACCTTCTGAGCTAAAAATCTTCCTGCGGAATACTATGCATATAGTTTTATTCAACGGGTCTAAAAAGCAGAAAAATATATTACAAATCTCATTACCGAAAATACCTGTTTAAAGCTGATTGATTCAAATTAGAGAACGTGATGGTAAAAATTGAATATAAAATAGTAATTGCGAGGCGAATAACTGTGTGCTTGTCAAGAGGTATTTTAAAAGGTAAGTATAAACTTATCGATTACAAAACAATTTTCTCAACCTTATGATGCTGTTCGATACCCGCTGCAAAATTTGGAGTAGCCTCGCAGCTCGACGAAATCTCTTCAAGGGCTGAAAAATAAGGGGAAAATACTTTAAACGGTGTCAAATAATACCAAAATAAATCATAACATTTGGATTGTCATACAGCACTTGTGGTTGTATATGGCTAATGCGGCGTTTATCCATGCTTGTGCGAACTGTTGAAGTAACCATGGAAATACAACACACACACACACATTCCTCTTGTGCACCCTTGAGGCCTCAAGTTTGAGTAGGGCCTGCATGCTTTTAGTTCTAGGTCAGCCATGTCAAAATATCCCCATGCATGTTTATTCAGGCTCCAGTTTGTGCACAGTGAAAGAGTAAAGAGACTAAATCAAACCAAAAAATGTCTCTGAAATCTGTGCACTTTTTGCAGTGGTTTACCCAGTATTTTGTGTCTCAAACTCCAGACTTTCTCGAACCTCACTCAACGGTGCTGAGCCTCGTGCGCATATTCAGCGTGTGTGATTACAAAATGAGTGCAAGTTGTCAATGGCTTCTTGAAAAGGCTCATGCACAGTGGCGCGGTCTGATTGAAGCGTCAGTGGTGTGCACAGTTTGTATGTCTATGTTCTTCGGTTTATAAAGATCTACTGAAAGTGTGTGTCCCGCAACGAGTCGTTTGTAAAATTGATTGGAGGTCTGTTGCTGGATCCTACAGACCCATTTTTCATGGCCAAAGGTAAAAGCATTTTAAATCTAGAGTTAGTCACATCCTCAACTGGCACTGGTATAATAGCAAGGTTTCTCTTTGAAAAGGGGATGAAGCCAATTTAAAAACAGAGAATATTTGGCGTACTGTGTCGGCTTCCTCGAGGTTTTCGCTGCGTTTTCGCACTGGTGGTGACTTTTCCCGGAACAGACTGCGGCCGTGCAGGGGGTGGATGAGGGCGTTTGTCGGTGCAGCCCCGTCCCGGCAAGTGAGCAACGCCGGCGACGATGTCCGCGCGTGAGTTCGTTTCTTCCTGTTGATTCTGAGGAAGAAAGGTTGCAATCATCGTCAGTATACGTTTCCTACATTAGAAGAGATTTCGACAACAAAACTCCAAATTTTCACAATATGTGGAACATCAAAATTTTGAAGGAAATGCTGGGAATGAGTTTCAAATACTCGATGAAACTGCTGTCATCTAAAATGTTCGGTGAAACTATTTCACTGATACAGTCTAAATCCGTTTCAATGCTTCTTGTTTGCGTCTTTTTCTCTCGTTTGGTGAATAGCCCATGTTTATCACTTTGTGCCCAAAAGTTACCGTTGGTGGCTGTGTTTGTGAAGAAATTTCTCCATTACCACCGATCTTGTCACGTCAGTTGTGAGCGATTCATTCTGCATGCAGCCACAACTACCAAGTATGGGGTACAGCGATTTCAATTTGAGAGACTTTCACCAGCTTACTTGATCAGCGTCCTCATATGCTGCCAGCGTTTGATTGCTCGTGAGCGCTGGAGACTGGCAGGAACGCTCGGCCGAGGCGGAGAAGCTTCCGTGGTCACTGCCTGGGCGCCTGCTAGTGTACATGCTGTAGCGAGTGACTCGGACATGACCTCGGGATGTACACTCAGGTATGTGCGTAAAACAAAAAAAGTGCCCAACTTCTCGGTTTTCAAGGTTATTGCATGCACTGACGTGATTCCGTTGACTTTTCTTGCGGATCAGCGCAAAGGCTACAAAATCTCCCCTTCTGCAGAGAGTAGGTCCTAAGCATCCGCTGTCAGAGAAGCTGCTGTCGAGATGCCGTTCCGTTTTGTCCAGGTTACACGAAAACCATGCACTCATATCTCCCAAACCGTGCACCTAAATGTCATATATACTTCAGATTTTGCAACAACCGACTCTGGTAGATTTCTTTGTGGTCTCAACGTAGCGGGAACAAAAGCAAGAGGTGGACCAGTAGGATACCTTAGTGTGCCCGGTACAGCTTGACAGCCGTGAGAGCCGGGGCAACTCTACTTACACTGCTCTGTGATTTACCGAGGCAACGGGGGTCAGAAACGGGAAGAATTTATTACACGGACGCTGCTTCGACGCTTCAATTCCCAGGGCAACAAGTTGTTCCAAATATTTATCACGCGCAAGGTTAAAGATTGATATTCACGTTTACCCATGGTTTACCTCAAAATATTTGGCGGTTATTTTGTGATGGGACATGGTGTCACAAAACAATATTTTAAAACCTATGCAAAAATGTTTGATCATCATTGTCTTAATATCTGTAATATTGTGGTCAGATGTCAGGAGAAGCCTTTCTCTGAGTTAGCCAGTATCCACTTGGTGTAAAACACTACGACAAATCCCTTACACAATGACATACAATAAAGTAAAGAGGTGCAATGTACATGTATATTGACCGCTTTGCTTAGAAATGTAAAAACAGCGCTCCAGTTCGTGTTTACTCAAGGGAGCTCACGTTACCATAGCGACGGGTATAAATGGATTAGGAACGTTCGCCTTTGCACCCCAAATCACGTGGCCCATGACTGCGAAAGGCACCAACCACGCCAAGGGACTCTCCTTGGAAAAACTTCAAGTGTTTAGATTGCACATATTAATTGCGCATTTCTGCGTTCAGATGAAATTCGATGAATATGTGTAGACATCATTTCATACTTGGCATTTCTGTACGTATCTACCGAACTCCTCGTCTCACCAGATTTCACAAAAGTAAATCGTGCTGTTCGCTAAAAGCTACAAAATTAGTCGTAATGTGATGTTGAGGGATGTTGTGAATATATTCAAGCCGAAATGGATATTAGCCAATGCGCTCCATAATGTCATGTAGTAGGGTGCGCGATGGAAGGAGAGCGTGGTGATCTGTCCTAAGGGAGTGAGGAGACATATTCATTATATGGGTTTTTGTGAAAGCGATATCATCGAGTCGCGAAGTTAAGGAGCACATAAATAGTCGATTTATCTGATTAAGCCTGGGGGCATGCTTGATCATTTAAAACATTGCAATATACTGAAGTATAATACCAGTCTATTAGACACTTTCTAACTTATTCTAAAGATTCAATAGAGTCTTTTTTAAGAAAAAAAGGTTAAAGTTCCTATTCATTATGCGTTTCCGATCCCCGACACATTTTTTTGTTGGCTCAACATACAACTAACTACCTGTACCCCTTCAGACATACACTTCAAATCATAAACATTATACCACGATCATAAGAAGTGCGTCTAAGCCTATTGGTAAACATACCAATCGGGGATTAAAATACTCAACGATTATTAGATTCAGTTACGAGATATTAAATAGTGCACCCTAATAAGTACCAATAACCCTGGGAAACAGCATTAACTGGGTTTTGAGAAACTAGCTATTTGGGGCCTGGTGAAAGTTAGGTTTCATCGGAGAAAAACCTCACCACGACCTGCACCCCTTGCCCACCTCCATAAATAGGACCCAATCAAGCTTTCTCTAGTATACAACCCCTTGAACCAAGGGGGCGGGGGGGGGCTATATACTCTCACTGCCCACTGTGCCGAGGTGTGTGGTGGAAGTGGTAAATTCATTGATTTTGTTCTCAAAATAAGCTCTGTTGAATTCACCAGCTTAAGAGATTAAGGCAGCTCCTTTTTAGCTGCATTAATTGCTAGCTTCTGAAGACGACAATAGGGGTGTTTACCGAGGCATTTATAATTCAACACTTCGACATGGCAAATAGATAGGCGTAGCGTGCTCGGGATAGGCCTATACATTGTATACGAATCTCTACCTTTCAGATCGTTCAAGACGTCCGCGAGATCCGCAAGCATGGATGTCATATTTTGCCATCTTCTTTCAGGTGTGACAGAGCCCAGTTTCAGCGAATTCTTCCCTCAGCGGGTTTGTTCAATGTTGTGTGCCGGAACCTGCCGAGCAGTCGCATGCAGTGAGCAGCTTAACATTATGAAGAAGTTTGAATGTAATGGAGAACATGGAGCAGGCCGATTCAATTGAATCAGACCACGGAGGAAGGCATGATCAGACTGTCTGATTGAGCTGCTAGGTCACTACCTAACTTGACCGTCTCCTCTGGACAGTTAAGTCTCCGCGTTCTTATTCAGGCAAACAGTTCCCACAACAGACAGACAATCCTCGATCTTAACATTAGCATGATTCAAGGACCGTAATTATTCGTTCGGGCCAATTAAGTCGTCTCATCACAGGAAACAGTTACATCACGACCAATGAATGAAACATCGGTGCTTAACACTGTCTTGACGATGAGGACTTTAAAGGATTTGCAATTTGTCTCATGGATGTTCTGTCTCCGCAAGAGATGTAACGAAGTGCTTGTCAGTTTGGTGATCTAAATTTTGCTCCTATTTGATGTGAAGTCTTAATTGGTAAGAAAGATGGCAGTTTCAAAGTTACTGCATGATTTTTACATTATTTAAAGTTTGGTGTGTTTCACGCGAAGCTGGAAATGTCTCCTAATTTCGACAGATAAACTTCAATCACATACCGGCAGTATGTGCTCTCTGCACCCTCAAGTTCAACGGACTTTCAAGACTTAGCAGTGGAACAACCACTTTGAATCAAAACTCCCAGACAAAACTGTGAAAGTATTTCTCTTCTACAGGACTACGATACAAGCTACAATGGAACCCCTTGCAAAGAATTCCGTGCTTCATCGGCCTCGGTCGCAATCCGTAGGTGCAGCCTTCGCTGGTGTAACTGGCCAAAACAACACCGGACAAGACCGCGATAGGCCCGACCAAGGGTCGCCTCATCGCACCGCTCTTTGCCGTGGGATAGTGCGCACCAATACCCTGACGTCGATTCGGGAGGATTCCTCACAATTGAAGGATTCAGCAGGGCGTCGTTACAGCACCGTACCTAGGTACGTATATAAGTACATGTATACGCCCTTAAAGTTGCTACATACACAGCTCTGTGAAAGACATGAATTACCCTGTTCATTTACATTGTTTCCATTCAAGAATTATGACTTCAAGCTTCCTCAAAAGCTAAACACCTCTCCCATTTTTTTCACTGCACTCAGCGGTACAACAAAAATATTGAAGTTGGTATCGTCTGTAAAGTTACAATAGGTTTACTTAATTCCACTATAGGTCTATTTTTTTCTTCTGAAAAAAGATAGACCCCACCAAATTACATGTACACGTATGTTAAAATTGGATGGATGACATATCCCGATAACAGCTCGCGGAAAACGTGCATCACTGACCGTGCTGAAAGTATCAAGCGTCTTGAAATCAGCAGAGGGCGCTATGTTAAAAAAGTGAAAGAACTTGGAGAACTGAATAGATTGCCTTTTCGTCTCATGTATCATGCCTCAGATATCAGTAGGGGAATGGAGAATTTGTCGAAAGGCCTTTACCATTGCTTTGCAAAAATTACCAATCGTAAATTTTTCTCCCGGATCCGCTTGTCACTTTTATTGCTTTATTTTTTTCCTCGCAATTTTGTATATGACATTTTGGGAAGGACCCTTGAAACCAGCCTTTGACTCGATTAAGATTACTATGAATAGACACACAGATACATGGGCTGAAATGAACAAACAAAGCGTCGTAAATGGTAACCTTCACACGGCCTAAACAATGCAGGATCACGTTCAACTGCCTGTAACCGTCAACACTTGTTGCCAATGTCAAGTCCTTGGGGCTTGTTCGCTGTTACCAGAGCGCCGCGCGTTAGCGTGCCTTTCCCTGTAATGAAAGGGTCACAGAAGCCACAAGACTGCATGAATAACCTTTCAAGGATGTTGAGACTGACTCAGCTGCGGACAACTTTCTGAGAAGACAGGCGAATAGGCGAGGAAACTATGACTCTGAATGTTCTCTATTGAGAAGATCGAAGAAGACTTGGTTTTGTTGCGCCGGCAAGATATGGCAAATGTTCGGGAGCAGCTCAAGTATTTGAACAGGTAAAGTGCCAAGTTAATTGTGATTGATTTGTTGCATGTCAGGAACTGATCGAGTTTTGTGTTTGATATAATTTCGTTTCAATGTGTCGCAGTCGGTTGATTTGTCTCGTACTTTTTTAATGGTTGTTCGCTGTGACGTTAGGGGCGATTTTGTCGACTGTTTTATATACAGTCAATGAGCAAGAAACAATCTCATGATTTCTTGCTCTATGATGTTGTTATGTTGCATATCTGAAAGGAGTATCATCGGCTAGCGATCGTAAGGTTGTTAAAAATGGTTAAATTGTTTATATGTGTGATTAGGCTCGTAATTACTGTAACGGCGAACCGTGCGAATCAACGACGGCAGTCTAGTCCCCAATTTGAAAGGTACTAGATTGGTATCAATTAATTTTCAGTGACGCAGAATCGACAAGTTCAGGGTTTGGATACAGCCAATCATATAGCAAGGAATCTACCCTTTTTCCCAAGATGATCCTTACCCCCAAATCTCACCTTTTCGTGTGAGTGCATCCTCTGTCTTGATATCCGGGTGATCTCGATGGATGTAAGTCCCTCACGAAGGAGTCTTTCTCTGCAGAGAGCAGACCAAAGCGGAAGCAGACGTCCGCGAACTCATCCTCTGCGTCAGCCCAGAGTTCCGATACGGTGGCTGGCGGCCGCGGGTGGTCCTTACTCTCTTGGCAGTCCCGGTCGGTGGGGATTAAGCCTGGCAGTATCATCGTGCATCTTTGCATTGTGCATAGGTTGTCTGATGTCATTATCTCCTAGGTGACCGTTCTCTGTAGGCCTATATCTCTCCTCATACTCATTAGTTCTTTATGATTTCGATTAAACGTTATGTGAGACAACGATGCTACCTTCAGCTTGATTTACTCTTATAAGCAGGATCAGAGCCGACCTTCAATGTAGGCAGCACTGATTTTTGATCAAAGAGGAACTGAGAATACTCGGCAAAAGTCCTCCTTCGAAATCCAGTCCGGCGGGGCTCTTTTCCCAACTGAAAGTACACCGGCTACTAGCTCTGTAGCTGAGGCAGTGATTTTGAAGAATTTCCACAATTCTGTGATCGCAATATTCAACTGTTTGTGCAGTTACGACTACCGTTTTCTTTTTGTCAGAGACGTGTACGTTTTAGGCCTTAAAAACGTCAAACGTTCGAGTTGTGGAAACTTTGAACGTTGAAACTCATGCCTAGTCATGGTAAACATTTATGGTTGCAGCCTGAGTGTTATCAGCTGCATCGTCAAATTCTGCGAGTGCATCTGAACGCAATACTTTCGCTCGAATTCCAACACGTTCCATTGAGGGCAGGCAGGTGGAAATCATTAAACAGAAAACGCTGCAGTCACTGCATATAACCACGGGCCTGATGGATTTAATGATTTAATTCTGCGATTTCGAGGTCAAACACTGAACTTTTGACGCACCAAGTTCAGGTAAATTCGCCACCTCAACCTTGGCAACCGTAACGCTTGATTTCAACAATACAAGGTCGACTGCCTACGTGTGTTTATCACAATGAAATTCGGACCACTCACTATACGCTGGTGGCCTTGGTGTCAATTTATTTTCAAAATTGTGTTGACTGACGTGTTTTTTCTCTTGTCACGGTTTACTGACGAAAGTACAATGAAGAAATAGTTGTGGTCCAAAACGCACTGGGGCGTAATCTTCTACTAAATGGTATTCCAGTTGTATTCATATTTTTCTGTGGGAATTTTTCATGACAAGGTCCTTTGGAGGACACAAAAACGGCAGAGCTTTCCAAGCCAACTTAATACAGGTAATGTCCAGTTGCAAATGATACAATCACTGACCCACTAGGTTTCATTAGGATTGAAATATCTGCCTGCCTGTTCCCATCAGAGATCATTAAAGGGGTTGTTACGATCAAATTGTTTCAATACAGACCTTCAAAATGCACCTCTGCGTCTGAGTTACCCGTATTTTCAACTTTAGTTTCACCATTTCAAAGGGTATTTTACTGCCCTTTAGGTTTTATGCTAATGAGTATTTCCATATTCATGAGCAAAACTGTGATGTCATCCCACTGGCCTCAATATTACATTGGTTTGTACACACAAAAGTCCTACATTTTTATTGATTTTGCTTGACTAAATGCTTCTTTACTTATTCATTGTTGTTCATGCGCATAGCAACAAGCATGCATCTATCCCTTTCTCATGAAAAGGGTTTCATTGGGTAAATTCTGGGTTAACAATTTGAGCAGAAAAACCTAGGCACTGAACTGTATCTTCCCTAGATGACATCACAGCAACAGTGCCCTCAATTGTTCAGATAAGCACGGACAATTTAAGTGTAAAAAAGGTGTACTTTGCATTGCATTTCACCAAAATAGGAACGTAAAAGAGTTCTCATACATCGAAGAAGAATACAAAGGTCCAGAAACATTCGTGTCTAAGACGAATCAATCGCAGCCACACTTTAAAAACTCCCTGTCCTCTCTCCAACTGACTTTTTGGAAACTGGTACCCGTGGTTGCTGTCTGAAGCACATTCCCATTGTATTTTATCCCTTTGTATCCCTTTATTTGGGACAGACGCATAACAACATTTTTTTAACCAGTGTTTTAGTAAGATTTATGCTACAACAATGGGGGTAGTAAAGTGTATACGTGAAAAAAAAAAATCCCAAATCGTTTTTAGCCTGTCCTCAGGACAGGTGGACAGATGGTTAGATGAGAAACTGGTACTTGCTATTCTCATCAGAGCCACAAAGCTATAGTTTAATTAATCTACGTCATGCTCGACCTTAAATAAGAAAAAACTTTCACCATCTACGTGTGTAATCATTTCCCCCTTTTGGTAATATCTGCAGCTGAGGTGACCCCCCCCCCATCAAACCACTGTCTGAGAAATTACCCCACAGAGATTCTCATTAGATTTTCAAGTCTCCTAGACGCTGAGATCGATTCGAACAGCTCGCATAAAGCCAAACCCGGCCACGAACCATTAGCATATTGAACACTGAAGTATACGGAAAGGCCCTCTTTAAGATCAATATTTTGAACATACAGTATACATATACATTGACTTTGCGTACAGCTCCAGTTTCTTAGGAACAGTTTTATGTATGATAGTGGGTTGTCGACATGTTGGAAAGTAGTCGCTCGGTCTTGTGTTCGTGTTGGCGGTGTCCAGTTCTCTCTGAAGTATAAGTTATGCTGAGTCTTCAAGTCATCTTTTGACAGTCTGAAATATGGAAGATAAACCAGTTGTTTCCGATCGTCTCAGAAACAGGTAATCTCATCTCAGCATTCATTTTGTTTAGAAAAAACACCGATCGCACTGTGTTTGAATAAGTTATTGATACCAAACTTTCAGGCTTGAGGTTATCGTTCTTGGCCTGTTTTACACCAAAGATTGACTTAATTTGTAAAAAAAAAATGAGTAAAACGGTCGAAATTTCCTGTCTAAATGGAAATGAATCAGTCGCCTCAGACAAGAATTCGACTGTCACTCAAGCAAAAAAATGTTTCGAAGGCACTGGACAACAAAAGGAGTAAAATGGAACGTTCTGTCATGCTCATGAAATGTGCATTTAGAGACATTCTTGGAAACCACTGGATTCCTTTATCTAATCAGGATTATCTCTGTCCGAGCTTATTTTACATGGTTAGTCAGTCAAGAAAGTTTGAAAGTCTCGTAATGTTGCGATTATTGTACACTTAATAGAGTTATACAATTGCTATAAAGAGTGTCGCTAACACATGGCTATCAGATGGTTAAACGGAAGAGTAGGCACTAACGTACTATTGCAAAGCTGGAAACATTTACAACGTCATAGTCTACTGTTTTTCTGAGATGAATATCTGGTGATAAAACCTTAACCGAGCAATGATGATGGCTTCTTATGTTCCGTTGATTTAGCAATCAACCAATCTTTGTGCGTTAAGTTGCCTTGGTGTCCTAAGCCTCTTTGTGGCTTCTATTATCCTTTCATGCGCCCCAAGAAGTGGATCAGGGACAGCAACAAGACCTCATCTTAGGGTCTTTCATTGGGGGAATTTATGTCCACACGGCTGTCTGTTCAGTCAAATCATGCGGAAACCTTTCTGCAGGGGCCCTCAACCCACAACTTTAACCTCTGTCGCCTGCAGGGGATCTAGTAAATCTACTGAGTGCGGAGTGTTTTGACCGCATTACTGCTGTTGAATTGGGTCGGACGCGGCGGGCCAGGAGTTTTGCCAATTTCTTCAACATTAAAAAAGGAATAGAAGTTTATTCAATTATGTACGGCCAGCATGCATCGGTTTGAGGTGATGCCTGATCCTTACAGTAACCTAAGCATGATGAACGCGTGACTATACGGAGAAATAGGGCAAAATGGAGTAAGTACTTGAATCTAGTGTACAACAGAGCTCAAGTACCAAGACCTGTTGAAATTAAGACTCCGAAGTTGACACCTGCTCCTGGGTTCGCAATCATTTTTACTTTTTAATAGTCGCACTGCAATGACAGGACTGATGATCGTATGTTTTATTCCTTCATGGTTGAAGGCTCATTGTAAATGTCTGTCTAGATGTACTAATGGAATGGTTTCATGATGCACATCTGCTACACCGAGGCCCAGATCTATACCAGGTTACTAGCCAAAATAGGTCTGGAAAGTGCAGGAAAAACGTCCGGGCCGGTTTTGGTTTAAAGAGATCAACACATCCCCCCAAAAGAAGCAACTTTCCCAAAGTTGTTCTTTTTGTAGGATGCATGACATCGGCACGTGTGTACATCATGATTTTTTCATATTCTTCCTTTTCACATTGAAACGCAAGAAAATCCCTACATTTTTGGGTGCTATGTCTCAAAAGGTTGTAAATTTTCAGGCCAAGGTGGGACTGCCATAATGAACACTAAAGTAAGGCTAGAGAGAGAAAATATCTCAACCATCAGTGTCTTGAATGATTATAAGTGACCATGCAATGTATCTCTCTCTCAGGAAAACCAAAACGCATGCACTATTTTCTGACTTTTCTTCTCAGAAAAATAAAAACACTGATAATTGTGTGGTTGCGTGCAGGAGGGTAGCTGTCGTGTCTCAATATGACCGCAAGCATGGGGGATCGTCAGCCGGTAGTAGACCCGGCATGGGCCGTCGGAGGACGACAGCGTTAATCCAGGAGGATTTACTCAAGCCAGAGAAACCGGCTGGACCCACAGTGAGTCAAATGAAACTTTGGGAATTAATCAGTCTTTAACTGTGGGGAAAAAACCTCGTCATTGATCATTGTCAACAATGACAAGACAAGAGAAAGAAGTTGAAGACAATTCCAAGAGTTTCAGAGCGTAGCTCGCCTGTAAGACTCACAGCAAATTAAATAACAGTCTGTCATCTTGTAGCTTTACTATAAAGGTAAAGGAACTTTTCTGCAGTGAATCTAAAGATTTCAACCCAGGCTATTTCGGCAAGGAAGAATATTTTCGGAAGAAAAATTAGGTAACCAGCTGGCAAGGGCCGTGCCAAATCGTGACTCCAAATACCAGTTAAGATATTACAGTCTTCTCTCCAGGTTAAGAACTGCAGTTTACACAGACATTTGATGTTTGATGAAGAATTTCACTTTCAACTTAAATATATTTCAACGTATTTCTCGCCACTTAACAGCCCTACCAACGCTTCAAATTGAAGGCCAATGCCGTTCGGTGGCTATGCATGGCTTGCATCAGCTACATGAGGTAAGTACATAATGGAAGAATATTTCATGTAATGAAAAACGAAGAATAATATTTATTAACAAAAGACATTATTTGTACCCCACATTATAATGCTCATAAAATATTTCTTTTTTTTTAAAGACAGTTGTTTTGTTTTTGCTTCTTTTTCAATTTCTGAGAGGGACATTTCTGGGGATGTGGACAGGGGAGGGGAAGGGACCTGCCCCTCCCCCAGTTATGCCAATTGTTGAATACGGGTGACTCACAGTGGTGCGCCTTCATGAGTTTCCAACGCTTTGACCAATCACAGTGTGTGAAATCTGACGACCCTTTCCAAACGTGCATTTGGTCGTCAGATTTCTTGCACTGTGATTGGTCGACGCTTTGCAAATTTTTGGAGGCGCACTATTATAAAAGGCCTGTATTACATTATTGAATAGAGCATGATTTCTAGTGATAATCTGACACAGTATTCTAGTTAGTTACATATTCTCAGTGCTTGACAATAGGGGGCCTAAATAGGTTCACTTGTGGCATATGAAGCCATGTTTAGTACCCCTTGGACCACAATGATAAATCGGTACACTGCAAACATACAACTAGAATGCTCAGTCATCACTGGAATTGTGCTGTGTATGGTAGGGGTTCAAATCCCTTTCCAGTCGATTTCTGCATCTATTTACACTAGGGAGAAGGAGATTCTAACCCCTCCAGGGGTTGAAGTACTTCAAGTAAGCTTTTTATTTGGATCTATAATGAGCTAAGAAGTATGTCCCAACATATACAGACATGCTTTATTGCATGTTTGCAAATGGTCCGTTAATCCTCCTTCATCCAATCCGATTACTGAGGACCGACAGCCTCTGTGATACAATAAAGCACAACTATGGCTTGTCATCACAAAAGGCTTAGAAAGGGGGATTCTGAAGGGCCATATATAGGCTGCAAAGATGTTGGTGACAGAGATATAAAGAAGCAAATGAAAAGATTGGACTGCTTAAGGTGGAAATAAAGAGAAAAATCAAGGAAAGTCGAGGAGGGCAAAATTGGAAAGACTGGCAAATAGAAATTATTTTACCCCTGCGGAGATGTTGAGAATGTTAGTCATACTTGCTGGGAAAATTTGCTAAGCTGAAACGAGTTCCCGGCCAAAGTTTATGTGATGTTCGTGCAATAGTGACTTGTCACTGGGTGGGTTTGTCTAGATTTGATAAGAGGCATTAACAATTCTTAAGTATTTAAAATTGGCCTTGTTCTTAGTTTTCCTATTTGATCTGTAAAGTTTTGCAGTTGACAAAACTTTGAGGAACTTAAAATTCTTTAAGCTCTGTGTCTTGTGTTTTTGGAGACAGTATCCCATCCTTTACTCCACAGAGCTGCATCCGAAAAGGCCTTAAAAGGTAGTCTACTGGAGGTAGTTCAGAACATCATGAGCCAGGCAGAAGCGGAGGCTCGTCGAACAGGGAATGATGGCTCACTACCCCGAGGCATCATCAGCTCAGCCTACCCAGACATGACCTTTGATGCTTCAGAGTTCCAACGATTCTCAAAGAGAGGGGTTTGTTTGCCAGATTTATTATTTTTTTTTAAATCCTAGTTGTGGAGGCATAATGCATCTATAGCTTTTCAAGAGAAAACATGTTGTTGATGAGGGAAAAAAGTCATAATGGTGATGAGGGTTTCTTGATATGTATTTGAGCATTTTCTAAACTCCACTAAAGTTCGGCTGCATGTTTGCTGAAGTTTCTCTGTTGCACGTTTCTTGTGCATGTGCAACCATTTCTTTTCTTTACATGAAAATGTACCCTCTCCCTTGAAAACAACAGGCTTAACAAAACTTGTCCAAACACTTGTCCAAAAATTTGAACAGGAGGGAATCCCCAAGAGAATCAAGGAGCTGTTGAGGGTGCCAGAGGAGGAAAGGACACAGGAACAGATTGAAAATGCAAGTAGAAAAAATAGTAACCATCCAGTGAAAACAAATCATAAAAAGATATCTGCAAATTACATTAACAGGATTCTAGTTCGGAATATGAAGTTTCCATTGAATGAAGAAAACTGATGGGAACTGCATTTAAAATAAAAGGAAAAGTTGCAGCAAACTGACAGGAGTGACCTACAGAATCTTTCTTAATGGAAAAATATTCTTTCAGTCCAGAGCACCAGGCCCTCCTTTGCCCAGATTGATTCCTTTCATCTCTGAAGACAGGTCATCCGAAGGATTACTGATATGGTTGTCATCCTCATAATGTTCTGTAGATGTTTTAAAATGCTGTACAGCTCCAACAATTTCTTACAGTGTCCTTGATGCGTACTTCAACCTGTCATGGATACATCCTTTTAATTCAAGGGTGCTTTGGTAATTTTCCATTGCAGATTGTAAGGAGCATGCAACATGTGGAAGAGTTTGCCAAATATCCCCCTGAAGTCCAGAAGAAAATGTGCGAATACGCGTGGTATGATGAGTAAGTGGCAAAAGAATATATTTTCTGTTATCATTTCAGGTGAAAGTAAATAAGGATGCGAAAAGGGTGCCGCATGGTGAATTAACTTCATCAAGAAATTGCCGTTCAAAATGTAGATTTCAAGAAAAGCTGTAGCTTTGCATAATATTGCGTTATACTGGCCACACCAGCTCATAAACAAGCCTTGCTTCCTGCACCAATGTGTCTCCTTCAGGAATCGAGAGGCTACTTTGGGATTTTGAGATCTTACTTGAAGATAAGAAGTTGACACAACAGTATTTGTGGAATATAATTCATGATTCCAAATGTCAATGTGCCTGTTTTGTCTACAGGTATGGACCCAACCGTGTCGTCATCAAGGAGGGACAGGAGGCAGAGGGACTCTACGTTGTCCTGTCTGGAAATTGTAAGATCCAGACACCTGTTAAGTTATTTGGGGCCAATGCAAGTGGGAAGACACTTTGAATGTCTTTATCAGATTCCAAACTTGGGCTAAGCTAAGCCCATGAAGGGCATGCTGATACAGTTGCTACTGTAACCTTGTCTTCGCCACAGTTCTAAGTAAACCTTTTTCCAGTGATGCTAAGATTTTAAGAAAGGGCCATGGTTATTATGGTTGGAATTTATCAGTTGTTTACACAAGGAATCTTCCTTGAGTTACACCCTTTCCTTACATTTTTTTAAAGCTCCATCGGTAAGAGGGTTAAGTTACAGTTTTGAATAGATAATAAAAAGTGCATTTATAAATGTTTCCATATTTTTCTTTCAAAAGTGACAGAAACCTTAGCTGGACAGACATATTTGCTGAAGAAAGGGGACAAGTTTGGAGTAAGTATTTTTTAACTTGAAATACATACGATTCAAAGTCATGCATTTTATGATTAATGAAACCTTGCACTCTCGGGTGAACATTCCAAGCTGTGAAGCTTAGTTCACAGTGTTTTGTTTCAAGGCAATATGGCTTCAAATGATCAAATGATAACCGTCTTGCTTTGCAGGAGAATGATTTAATCCGTGGAAGCAAGAGAACCAGCACCGTAATGACCAAGAACAAAGTGGAAATGTTCTGTCTACATTCTGAGGTGAGGCTGCTTTGTACAGTTCTTGATGTCAGGCTTGACTGGGATTGCTGTTGTAGTTCAGGGAGGGGGGAACTTTTCTAGCAAAATCTGGCAGTTATTTGATTTGCTGATAGCAACAGTACATTGTCTGACTTTTGTGCAATAAAATGAACAAAGATAACTCTAGCAGTAAATGACATGTTCCTATGTATAAAACTTGGTTTATGGTTTTAAAAAAAGTGATTTTCTACACTCTGCAGTAGAGTATACAAGCTGCCAATGTTAAATCAGGGGTGCTGTATTCAGCAAAAGATTAAGGCAGGGTTGCAGATGACAATTGTGGCATTCCGAGTTCAGCATTTACGTGCATTGTGAAAAATTGCAAACAACTAGATGTAATAATGTATGGCTTGTGGAAATATAATTTACTTGGTGAATAAATGCTATACATGCTTTTTCTCAAGAGTTAATGACTTATGCCATGTTTTTATTTTCACAGGACTATGCTCAGGTCTTCAACACCAAATTAAACATAAAACCAGAGGACTGCATCAAATATTTAGGGTGAGCATAAACTGACAATTAACTGTGAACATAAAACTGTAATGCATCTGGCTAAAATTCTAACTTCAAATGATGTTATCGGTGGAGCCTTGTTCTTGTTTAAGACAGAATTTCTTAATGCTGTTATTTTTGGCCCACTCAGGACAATACCAGTTTTCCAGATGTGGAGTGGTCTTGGTAAACTCCTGGATTCTCCCGTCAACTGGGGCATTCAGAACTACAGGTAATGTCTGACAGCATTAAAAGTTGTGGTGGTCTCTATGCAGAAGATGAAAATGTAGATTTAGTAGTGTGACAGACTCTGGAGAGCAAATGGAGGACACATGCACTGGGGCTGGTTATCCTCTGTGACTGTGACTTGCAAGAAAGGTTACCTGAATGAACAGTGCTACCGACCTGAGTCCGAGCAGTCTTTGTGTACAACCCTTATATAGGACATGTAAAGAAAGGTTTCGGTCTCAGGAATAAAACCAAAGGAATGGAACAGTAGTATGCTTCACAAGTACACAGTAATAGATGATTATATGTCCTCATCTGTTTATGGGGCACAGTTTAAGAGAAAGGTTTTCACTGGTGTAAATTAGCAGGTGCATGTAGTGTCCTCGTGTGATGGTAATGCATTTGAGCAGGAGCGTATGGTGGAAATCCTGATTGTGATACAACTGCAAATTATCCTTTATGACAGCTTTGTTATGGGAATCTGTGATCGATGAATTGAAAGAAAACATCTGACAATCTTTAGCAAGGATATGCAAACACGTATTAAGCTGAATGCAGTTGCTGACAAAAAGGAATGAGTTGTTGTTTACTTTCTGTCTGTCTAGTCTCTGTTTCAAATAAAATAATGTTTGGTTACTGTGAGATTTTCTGCTTTGCGATTCTTTCACTTTTCAGACCAGGCCAGGTTATTGTTCCTGACAGTAACACAAATGACTGGATATACGTGGTCAAGTCAGTAAGTGTAGTCGTTTTGGTTGTTATTTGGTCACTCTTAAAACTTAAAGATTTGAAAGAGTTTTTTAATGTTTACTTCAGACCACAGAGGTGGGAGGGTGGAAAGAATCTGTGGATCAGGGTGGGTGGATATGGAGGGGGAGAGTTGATGGACGACAAAAGGGAGATTAGATCTAAGAGAGTTGCAGGTGGGTAGTGGAAGAAGGACTTTGGGGGATGGAGGATGGATTGGGGGGTGTGGAAGTTCCAGTTGGAGGTTGGATCTGGGAAAATAAGAGGTGAACTTAGGGGGAGGATTGATCTTGGGAAGCAGGTTATGGAATAATTTTAAAATGGGTGTGAGTTTACATGTATTTTTGTTGATTTGAATAAGGAATCCCAAGTAAACTGCACTGTGACAATATCAACATGCATGGACAAGCGTGCGATGCTTTTTGGAAGTACCAACAACTGTTAACCAGTTATTCCCCCTATAAGGCATGCTTTAGTATTGTAACTGTTGGGACCAGTTTTCAGGGGCAAAATTTTATAGGTAATTTATGTATTCAGTACCCCGCAACTTTACATTTAGAAGACACAAATTTACATTTCACCTGCAGGGTACCTGTGATGTTCTGAAGCGTCTGGTACCAGGGGTCTGTGCTTTTGATCCCTCAAAGAAGAACTACAAGGAATACAAGAAGGCCATGGGTGCCATAGAGATGAGCCAAATACACCAGATTAAGAGGCCTGGAGCCAACAAGAAGAAGACCATACCTCAGATAAGGACACCCCAAGACTCAGCTAGCTCACCTTTGGGTGGAAAAGGTAGGCTTGGTGGTAGACGAAGTAACTGGTGCCACTGTGCTTCGTCTATTTTTAGACTGTTGTCAGTTAATTGGCTGTTACCAAGTTCCAGCATTTGTCAATGTGTGTTGATGATCAGAATGCTGCACTGAAACTGACAGCCAGGCCCAAGCCATGGGTACAGGAAACTTGTGGAAGGGGCCCACTTTTTTTAAAAGTTGTATCTTGATCTAAACTCAGAAACCTTCAGGTTTTCTGCTCCTTGATGGTCCAAGCCCCCGGCCCCTTTCGAGAATAGAATGGTGCCCACAGTTCAGATGCATGTACATGGACTCTGTGAGTAAACTCCCCTCAAGGGTGGATAGAGAGGAGATTAAGCATGTTAAGGCTGTGAAAGCTATGGTTGTGACAGAAATAACTTTGTGGCTGCAGGAGCCAGTAACCAGTACAATGTAGCTAACACAGTCTCCCACGTACATGTAGATGTGTGTTACTACTGGCCACAACTAGGTCATTTAAACAAACAAAATTAGGGATCCTAGCTCTTTCTCCCATTGTACTTTTAAGTTATGTGGCTGGCTCACAATCTGTGAACCAGAGAAGTTGTCCATCACAAATGATATGGTCTTGTCTGGATCAGCTAGCTGTGGCCACCAGTGACACATGCGTCTATGGGAAATGACTGTGGCTGCTACCTAGCGGCTTACAAACATGGACATGTTATATCCAGCCGAAGTCCTAAAACTACTTGCAATTAGTGGCTAAGAGACCTGTTTTTCAAGCACAATTCATCTTTCCCTTCACAGCAACTTTTCTGACGACACCAAAACCTCAGAGTGCCGATAGTGGCTTCAAGCAGAGGACTCCCATATCTGGTATCTCGGACAATGTCATGGAAAGAAGACGCAACCTCCAACCAGGCATGTGGACTGAGGTAGGTCAAAGGCCAATCTATAAATAGTGTTCTGCAGCAATTCAAGAGAAAAAGTCTGCCATTCCTTTGACCACAGGATATTTTTTTTTTGCGAAGTTCTTCCAGTTCTATGCGGATGTCTTTCAATCATAGTCTTTACGGTCATCAACAAATCTGGGGTAAAAATGTAAAAATTGCCTTGTACATAATCTTCAGTAGTCTGAACTTTATAGGATTTTTTTTCATGGCAAAAAAAAACATGCAAGATGCCAAGTACATTTGAGACAACAGTAATCCCAGTCACCTTCCCTACTTTACACACATCTTTCAAACTTCCTCAAATGATCTCCACCAGTGTCAAGGCACTGGTGATTTCTTGGGTTCCCAGATGTATTTCAAACATAGAGTTTTGCTTTGTTTTTGAGTAGCATAGACTAACCTCTCAGGTCCTGTTTTTTTTGTTCTTTCTCCATTTGTTTTCTTCTCTTGACCTCTGGTAGTCTCTGGGCAAGGTACCCTGTTTCTTTTGATCTCTCATGGCACTAATCAGTGTGGCACCAACCGGTTTGTGCCTTCATTTTGCATGATTCCATTTCATCCATTGATTCATCCACCAAACTGCATCCACGCATCACATTCCTTGGGACACTGCTCAACAACCACGCAGCAAGTGGAATGGACGTTTTGCTTCCAAGTTAGCACCTTGCATGGCGGCCTCCGTGTGGCAGTCTGCTCATTCTCAAGAGCAATTTTCTCTGCACTGCTTGATTTTAAATTAGTTAATTTCTTGGTTAAATCCATGCATGCATCACTGTGTGTGGGAATTGCTACTACATCACCCTATTCCACATAAAGAGCAAAGTTTGGCTTTCATCGTGTCCGGCGGCATCCAAACCAATTCTCTTATTCAATTCATAGCTGCTACAATTCCTGAGGAATTGTTATTGCTTTGCAGAAACCTCGGAAGCTGCTGGAGAGCAGTGGACTCAATGGCTGCATCAAGCGTGGTAGCGAGCTTGACATACCGTACTGTGTGCGTGTCGCTGAGCTGGAGGCAGGTGATGTCTTTGTGAGTACATAACAGGGTTTGGATGTTTTCCAAATCTCAAGTACTTGTCCTTCTCAGGTTTTGTCTTCAACAAATGAAACTGCTTGTCAACTGTTCAAACTAAATAAAACTACTTTCACCTTTAGGTTGACAGTATACATTTCTGCGTCTCAAGCAAAACATGAGGGGAGGGGGGGAATCAGACAAAGCCAGAGACGAAAATGAAACTTAGACAAGAATTTGCCAGTGCCAGTTTAATATTAATACACCGTATTCATCCTTAGAACGTTCATAAAAAGCTACAATTTAGTTTATTGCTCCTGCTTGGGGAGTACCAACATTAACATATAGAAGAATAGACAGATAGAGAGCACTGACGTTGTTGTTTCATTGAACAAACTGCAGAGATTGGAGAACCACTATCAGTTTTCTCCATTGATAATTCCTTTTCTAAAACACTTGTAGCTAGATAAGATCAGATTTCTGCTTAAAGTATAGTTACCCATAATTTTCAGTTTCCATCATGGATTATTTTTTCTTTTTAGTCTTCTGTGATAAAAAGTCTGAGTCCAACGTGGACGTCAACAGAATAGTGAAAGGTTTTTATTTCCAATTTACTTGCTATCACTGTAGGGAATGCTGACTGTTTTGCCCTCATTTAAAGAAACAAGTGTGAGCTTGGTAAGTTTTTGTGCATTTTGCGATATCGCAATTTCCTGGATAATCTACTTCTCTTTCCTAAGTAAAGAGTTTATTTGACGTTAAATTTGGGGGCAAGTCCAGGCATGAATTATGGTTCCACAACCAGTTGATGGCCTCCAACAAATGTGTACAGGCAATAGATGCCACTCAAACAAGCACAGTTGAACTCTTTTGCAAAACCAGTTGTCGGTCATGTTCTGCCATCGGTTTGCATTCACAGTCTCTACCATTTCATACAATAAATTTCATTTCAGTCATGTCCCCTCGCACTTTTATAATGAAAGCAACTATTGACAGCCAGCGATGAGTCCATGCCTGAGGGCCTGGTTGCAACTGGCTGACTTTTGGTCCAAACCGTTCATCGTTTGGGTGATGGTGGTCAAATCATAGTTGACTATACTCGCTGCTAACACTTGCCCTGGGTTCGAGATTACCTCATAGCATACATTTTTGCTAATTTAGGTACAAGTAATGTGTATGCATGAACCATGTAGCCAGACACTGGACAACATAAAACAAAGAAAATCACTTGGGCGTGTATTACACTGACATTTTGCACTTTGCTTTAACCAGGTTATATAATTTAACATACATTTCATTTCAATCTCTTGATCCCTTTCCCTCGCCCAAAACAAAACAAGAGGTTCCCCTGAACGGTTGTTTGGGTTCAGCTGAGCCAGCCCGAACTGATTATTGTTCTGTATTTTAAACATAAACTGTTTTTCATATCTATAGGTGAGTCAAGGGGCAGAAGCCATTCGGATCAACAAGACATTCTTCCTCAAATATGCAGATGAGAGGGTCTTCACACAGATTGAGATGAGGGTGAGCATAGCATACAGACTTGCGCTTAACTTGGAGGCAAATTCATTTTACATGAAGACAATTTCTCAAGCACTATGAGTGCCAGTGGCTGATTTAATTGGCCCAGTTGCAAATACAGTGTACTTCCCATAAGGGTGTTGTGATATGGTTAATTCCAAAAATTAGTCTTCCAAAAGTGTGACATTCTTGTGACCCCATTACATCTGACCTTTGTTATTTGACATGGAAATGTTCCCGGTATTGATTTCAAACTATTACTATTTGTTTGGCAGGTAATTTGCATTAATTCGTCACTCTTGGAAATAGAAAATGTGTTCTGAACTTACAAAATCATACGTCAGATGTGACAGCGACACAAAAAAATGGCAAAAAAAAAATTCAAAAACGGCCATTAGAAAGAGCAAATTCTTAGGGTCCCAATATCTGGAATTGTTCTGTCTTTTTATTATTTTTTTTTTTTGAGTTTGGGGTGCCAAGGCCTTTTTTTTCCCAAAACTAAATCATCTCAGACTTGGCACCTACCACATGAATGGGGAAAAAGGGAACTCGTTCACTTTGAAATTTATTCGCCATTGAAATAACAAGACAAAACAAAAAAAATTTACCAAAACTTTTGTTACATTTGTAAAAAAAGTCTTCATCCTATTCAGAGAATAGTACTTTTTTGGGAAGTGTGTTTTACATACACAAGACTAACTTACAATAGACTAACTTACAATAGACTTGAAAATATACATATTTTTGTCTGTTTTAGTATGAGCCGTACCCTACCCAAGACGAGTGCTTGGATGACCTGGACGTGACCTCGCAGTGGGAGCGATTCAAAGTGGTGGAGGTAGAGAAGACTTTGCAGAGGATATCTTCAGCCCCACGATGACAGCTGTGGTGCTGACTGGTGACAACTCCTCCGAGAAGCATTAAGGAGACACCACGATGGCAGGGGCACCACTCTAAAGGCGGGTTCATACTACAGGCCAATGTGAAGGCAAAGTGAATTTGACGTCGCAAAAAAACTGAAATGTGTTCAACATTGCAAATTCGCTGCGCGAATATTTCCTCTGCCATCACCAATTCACATCTATGTTCGCTTTCGCAGGAAGTATGAACCAACCTTAACACGGATGTTCTTTATCACATGCAGTGCATGCACCTTTTTGCAAGTCACAGCACTTTATTGGTCAGAGAGGCATGTAACGTATGCACATCACGCACCTGCCAATGAGCTTGACACAGGTACCCCCCACAGCAATGGTTTCTAATATTGCCCAATGAGTCTTTAGTGAGGCATACATATCCAAGCATGTTCGCTTAAAGCAAAAACATACATGCTTAGCATAGTGAGAACAAATTGCCTTGTGCATGATGTATTCAGCTGGCTAACAGTATCGCACTGCTTAGAATATCACAATATCTTGCTTACATTTTATAACTTGCCTAGGAAAAGTTTTTTTTATTGATGTAGATCAATAGCCCTGCATCACTATATCCCAGCCTTCCAAAACAGACAAATTATCTTCAAAATTTTTTTAAAAAAGATTTTTCAGGAAATATACTTCTCTCTCGCAAAAAAACTTTGAAAATAACAAGTGCACACCAACACAATCCTTTACACAGATGCATGCAGATCTGGGTCAAGTAGTACAAAGCATTCACACTTAGTGTGAAAATAAAGAAGACTCAGTTTGTCACATCAGATCAAACATTCGCACTGCAAATTTGCAAAAGTTGAACATTTCAACTCAAGTGAATTTTGTTGCAAAAGTATGTTGTCATATTCCCTTAACTTGAACATTCCCTGAAGTATGAGCTAGCCTTTATAAAGCAAGGAAAGACAAATATCAAAGGATCTGATGATATGTTGAAACTTAAGTTATATTTACAGTGTGACAAAAATTACATAATCATACGACATGTATCCCAACTTTTGAATCCACTGATTTTGTTGTGATTCACGCACAGAGTGAATAACAAATTGGTTTTATTTTCACAAATCAATCCATGCGTAAAATGTGTACACTATACATTTTCCAGACAAAAGCTGTTTTATATACATTATGATTAGTTGGCAATAGTTTCTATGTTGCCAGTTAAAGAGGCTGTTGAAGAATTGTAAATAAGCACCTGCAATATGTATCTTTATGTGTCAGAAGTTTCTAGGGACCAAAGACAATTAAATTATGGCGTACAACAAACTGATCTGTCTGATTCTAATGAAACGATTATTGTAATACTCTTAATCAAATATTAAACTAGTCCAGAAGTGAATAGGACTTTTTGTAAGTAAGAAATTCAACTTCAACAGTGAATTCTAGGTTTGTTCAGTTTGGTGGAATGTTTCAAAAAATGGAAAAAGTTGTTGGGTTGAAATAGTGAAACGAGATAGTACCTCACTGTCATGCTGGTCTAATTTACAGTTTGGCCCATTTTAAAAATATACAGCTGACACTGTTTTCCCGTACAAACAAAACAGGACCTCTTTGAGAGTTCTCTAAAACTGACATTAGCCTTGGCCTCGGGAATATTAGGCAAAATGGATACTAACCCCTCCCCTTTACAATTTTCCGGTGAAATTGGAAAGGATTATGTCGGAAACATGAAGATCTGTGTGAGTGGAATGATCTGGAGAGTTGTCAGGTCGGCCAAGACAGCATCAGCTGCGGCAAACGATGATGTCTCCATTAGGTTGACACGTCGGAATGCAAAGATGGCTGCAGCTACCACTATGATTTCAAGTACAAATAAACAATACTGGCCATTTTGACACTTTCAGTAGTTTCATTCCTAGGTGTCTGTCCGTCAAATCGTATCCAACAGTGACGGGCAAGAGAATATAATAACAAAGCACAAGCGGGCACTCTTTTTGAGTAGAAGCCCTGAAGAACAAAACTAACACTGACAGAGACAAATTTCAGTGGTCAAATGTGAGATTCTCCCTCGGAATTCTTGGAAACTTGACAAAGTAAAACCACATGTGATCCAACTTCAACCACCACAAAAGGTGTCACTGGGACTCTGGCATTACAGAAACCTTAGGGTAAAGTAGAGATGAATTTGTGTAAATATGCTCAGATTCTGAAAAATGCTTCAATTCTCCAAACATAAAAGTCCCTCTCTAATTTGCCGCCATCCTGAAAGCTTGACAGATCCACACATGCAGGTGGTACTTTGGCCCTTTAGGCATCAATCAATGTCCCACGAGGGTGAACTAACGATCCTCTGACTATCCAAAGTGAACCCCCAGGAATCATTTGACAGTTAATTGAAGGCTCTGACATTCCCTAAAGCACAACATGAGAGAAGCTATTCTGATGCACCTTTCCTCTGAAATTCTGATTTTTCAACTCGGACAATAGGTCTATAAACCAGGGTCTGTACCCCAAAGGTGAAAACGATCGACTGTTTTCATAGCAATCCTGTCTACCTGGGCTCTTTAAGGACTAACGGCAAACCTCAAACTTTCTGTCAAGTCTGGCACCATATTTTTAAGGTGGGTTTTTTAACGTAAATGACTTGTTACAGTATTAAAATTCTGACAAAGATAACAAAATTACCAAATTAATCATTTTCCTGCCTGTCCAACTAGTTAACTTTGCAGGGTCTCATCATGAACACATTACTTCCCCAGGCAAACCTTGGTGCCAAAAAAGCAAACAGTACTCGAGTGGTCTTTCCAGATGCACAAACAAGATCAAGCATAGTACAATACAAAGATGTTCATGAAAAAACAAGAGGCCAGTTCGTCTTACCGGCCAGCAGTTGCAGAGACCCGTAGGCCAAGATGCGATCCCACAGAAGTAACAGCTGGTCACTGGCGAGGTAGCCGGAGAAAGCTCGCATCATCCACTTAAAGGCTATCCTCAGCCTGGTGCGAAGGGATATAACCAACAACAGAAAACACAGAAATAAACTTTGAAGAAAGCTCGTATTGGGTTGTGGACATCAATGGTTTGAAAAATGCCTGGATCTCTTGTTCAAAGATGGAGACCCTAGGCTGTGCCATCTGCTGAAAGTTGGAGAAATATTTTGGCGCTTGTGTTTCACTTTTGGACAGAAACTTTTTAGGGTATTGGCAGATCCAGGGGTGGGGGCAGGGCTTACCAACGAAAGACACAAGTTGCATGGGTTAGTTTTTCCATAATTACAGCAAGAGACTTAATACAGGGGTGTGAGTGGCCACTTCAAATTAAAGCTGAAGACAGCTAGCAAAAAGTTGGAATGTAAGAAGTCCTCATACGTTTGTACACAGCAGGAGGTCAAAAAAGCTGAAATTGAGGATCAACATCTTAAAAAAAGCTGAAATCAGCTAAAAAGCTGGATTTTCACACCTTTGTTAATATTAAGTTTTGCTATTTAATTTCCTTACCTTTCCTACCAAAACACTCCCAACACTTTGCCACACACGCCAGAGAAACCCCCCAAAAGATTACAAAACAAAACTTTATTGCCCCATCTCTGCCCCCCCCAAAAAAATTTGTTCCCCCTTCAAAGTTGGTTCTGGAGACACCTTTGTTCCGGGATTGCTATGTTTAAGAAGTGGCCAGTAAACTTTTCTCCTGCTTCACTAATGACACAACTAGATTTCCGACCCCCAGAATGGCCAGGGCACACATCACCCATAACTTTCAGGCAGAACTTACGGCTGGGCACCAACTTCTCTGAGATGGTAGAAAAGCTGCGGTTGGCTGGACTGGAGCAGACTCTCAAACAGGATACAGAGGGACACGATACCCTGGCATAAACAGAGACACCAAAAGCAATACACTTTGCAGTGGTTATTGAAAACACAAGCTGTAGGCTGTGTGAATCTTGCAATCTAGAGCTAGGGTTGGTCAATGCTGGTTGCACATATGTAGGTCAACACTGAGAGCACATACAGCAGTAGTGCTAGAACCTCTTTTTCGGACATGGCTTTACAATTGAAGTTTTGTCCTTCATTGATGGGTTTATAAGCCAGCTTATCTGGTGAGATTCCACCATACAATCTCCTGGTTATTGGAGAAAATGTCTGACCATCCCAATTAGCTTGCTAGCGCAAGGTGGAGTATCCTCACATAATTGCCAGGTCTCGGTCTCGGTCTCTGTAGCTAAGAGACTGAGTGTTTGGTCTAAGATTGGACTCTCTGTGGACATCTAATCGTAACCCATCCTACCTCTGGGTGAGACGATATGGTGTGTAGTCTGAATAGGTGCCGCGTGTACATCTCACGGAAGATGTAGTACAACTTGTAGGGGTCACTGTACACAAAGCACAGAGGGGCAACTGTGCGGGGAAGAAGAAAAGCTTGTAATTAACCTGCGTCAAAATTAGTGCACAACAATTTGGTCTTGTGTATGGACATACAGAAAGAAAGACAGGTGTCTATGCGGGAGTTCGTTATGTGGGGTGACTGACAACGACCAATTATCATGGCTTTGAATTCAGTCCCAAAACATTTTCATGTAGGCTGAAATAGAGAGTTTTCCTGCCAACATTCCAAACTTTTTTCAGATCCGCTAACCTGAGTGAATTGAGTTCTAAGGAACTTTAAAACTTGCGACTATGTGCAAACTGAAGAAAGGAAAGAGCAAGGCAAGGGAGTGGTCTGCTGAAACTTGACCTTAATTGTCTGCACATATCTCAGACTTCCTATAAATCTGCCGGCACTGACACTTTGATGAACATGTTCACCCCAAACTTCTAGCATGTTTCAAAGATTTTTCAACTTTACTTTTGATGGCATGAGAGCACCTCAAACTATCAGAAAGTGTAAGGACACCCACAATGTTTTCATTCAGCGCAGGGTATTGAGGGTGAACTTGTTTGGCGGAACTGCAACTGACACTCATGCCGGGGAACTCTTGCCCCACTGAGAAGAGCCTGGCTATGCCACTCTCTACACTCAAGCTGGAGGCAGAGCTGAATGCTTGAAGCTAAGCCTAGGGTGCGGTCTACCAATTCAAGTGATAATTTCTAGCCAGCTCATTAGCATTAAAAGTGTCCCCACAATATATCTTTTGCTTGGCCCCTAAAGTGGTGAGATTATCTAAATCCTTGCCAGGATCCATTCCCTGGGTCTTTGGGATTTCATCTGAGAGCGGAATGGCTAAAAACATACAGTTGAAAATGGCCCTAAGAGCCCGAGAAAGGTTAGGGTTGCCACTTGAAAAACAGCTGCAAGCAGTCTTCAGAAAAATAACTTTTCGGGGATAATATTGTTTTGTGGGAATAGTTAAAGGTGTATTTGGTTAACCGCCAAACAATTGAAGAGAAATTGAAAGATTAGGGACAATGAAATAATCTAATCTATGCTTCTGAAACCTCAAGGGTGTTGGCATACATGTTATTGGGCCCTGAGCAATGCTGATTTTACATTTGTTTCAATGGGGCTTGAATTAGTGGACTGGACCCTCCAGCTATTACCGACACACCACAAAAATGCACCACCCCCTCTAGTGTTCAAGCCCTGCCAGCTAAGAAAACTGATTGCTGTTATCTCCTCACAAGGAGTGTGATGCTGCCATGTTTACAGGGAAATGAACAAAGCTGGTGTACTGGTAAATGTTCTCCTTTCTTGAAAAAAAAATGTCTTAAATCTGCAAATTCTGAAAAGAAATGCAAGGACATACACCACAAAGTCCCACCACAGGCCCCCCGGGCAGTAAATATGAGCATGGCAAATTGCCAATAAACTGCAAATCAAAAATATCTGTAATTTGAAAGGGAGGGAACGGATGTACGAAGAAATCGATGCTGCAGACAGGTGCCGTGATGGCTGTTATAAAATCCTCCGAGCCCTGTATCACTGACGTGAACATAATAGTCACGGCCGGCAGGATGCTGTGCTATTATCTAGCTAACTGGATTTAACTCATTAATACCCTACCTAGCCAGGGAGCCCAGCTGCCTCCATCAGCCCCTCTAGGCTTCCTGAATTGACCAGGGCATTGACAAACCTCTGTGATTATAGTGTTCTACTTTTCTTTTTCTTTTTTTCATCTCCCTTTTCCAAATATAGTGTACTGAAGGAAAAATAAACCTTTCTCCAGGCATACGGCTCTGTGGTCTGTTTCTTCACATATGAGCACTGAAAACCTCAAGGTTTTACAAAAATGTCACGTATTGAATTTTACGTATTAAAGGGATGCATAAAACAAAGTCCAGTCACAAGTCCTTTCGAAAGACCAGTCACAAGTGAACAGGGACAAAGGAATGTTCTCATCATATTTTATTTCTACAGTCTTGGCTTCTGACTGACTGACTGACTTGTGATGGACTTGAAGGGACTTGTGATGCACTCTACTATAACACCGCTCTTTGGAGAACTTTAAGTACGTACACTTTTGCATTTTGGCAAGGGGCAGCTTGTTTGTGTGCGCTGTGCTGTTTTATCTTTTGCTGTCGAAGGCAAGCTTTAGAATGTTTCAGATTTGCTCTGTGTATGGGTATTAGTCTTTGGACAGCAAAATAAAATGTCAACTGGATACACAGTGTTAGGAAGACATGATTGGGGACATACTGGCCAGGTGGAAGGTGAGTGGGGGAGGAGCAACAGGGAAGGAGGAAGATATGGGGAGTAACGACTCACCATACATTGAGAAGCCATGGAACGGGATAATGCCATTGGGTGGATATATCACTGCATATTCCTCCACACCTAACATTCCTAGAATTAGAAGAAAATAGGAAGAAAATATCCAAAGGGAATATCTGACCTGTTCCCGTGAAACCCGGACAAAGTAACAAAGAACAAAAATGTTTACAAAAAGATTTCAGTAGACTGAGCAGCGATTGGGTCAAAATCTCTTGGAATTATGAGGATGCGTGATTAATGAAAATTTATATTACTGGGAAACTAATTTGACGGAGGAACCTGAAAATAAAAACAATTAATTTTGCTTGCTTTCCTGCTTGTCCGGATTTTATGGGAACAGGTCATATACATGTTTCACTGGTTGTTGCATTTTGGGGGGGGGTTTAAATGATCTCATTTGACAACCACTAAAAATTACTTTGTGATGATTCACTGATTATTTTTGTTCTCATTTTCTCACTAACTCTTTCAAAATAATTGGCAAAAATTTGCACATTATTTTCATTTTCTTGTCCGTTAGACTGTCTTGAGACATTCTTATACTGCCACTGGTTAAAGGAATATGGCAGAAATGTTTGCGACGTTAGTTTAAGTACGCCGTTAAGCATTCATAAACAGTGTACAGACCGGTAATATAGAAATCAAAGCCAAACAGTGCTCTTCAATTATTTTTTGAGATAATATCCAATTTTGAAATTGGACAATTTACCCTGTTTCTATGAAAATATGACTACCTTTACTTCTAGATGATAGCATGAAGAAGAAATAATTTGCACATTTTGGTGCAATTTCTCCCAATAAATAAAATAACATTTCAGACAATACTGAGTAAATTATCAACGTGATTAAGCACTTCAACTGAAGTGCTTAATCACGTTGATCATGCGAGAGCGAGTTTGCGAGCAGCATCCATGCTGCTCGCAAACCACCTGCCTAGAAATTCAACCTAGATCCTTTGGGTCCAAGTGAACATGACAGTGACCTTTCAATGAAGAAATCCTCTAAATAAACAAAGAATCTTCTTTTCCCCGACAATTCATTAAAAAATTTTACAAGGATTTCGGTGTCAACCTCTGAACATTTCTGAGGTGGGGAATAAACAAAGGTGGTGCAATAGTATCTACCTTGTATTTCACATCTGACCAATCAAATCATTTTCCATGGTGACCTTCTGTCTCTATAACACAAGTTTCTTTTGATACGATGATAGAATTCTTCCAAAATTCTCTACTCTTACATGACAAAAGACTACCCCCCAAAAAAAAATACAGGAAAGACTTCAAAGTTGTCAGTACTGCTTCAAAATGTCAATGACCACTGACTCACAACCTTGACAAGGGCATTATATTGAAGTTGAAAGCTGCTTCAGGTAAATTGATTTCTGTCTGCACTCATAATCTCAGATTGAGAGGGATTTACACCAAGGATTCTCTCCACTGTTTATGTCTCCCGGCTAGACTGAGCCAAATGTGAATAGTACCTTGGCAAGAAGTGCTTCTACGGTCCGATTTAGAATTGACTGCTGATTCAAAATCAAGGATAAAAATCCTCCAGCAAATGTTCCTGCATATTTCTATGAGGTTTGGAGTCTGGGTCACAAGTGTTCATCAGAAACTGCCAAACTGTTTCAATCCAGTTGGTAAATTTACTATCTGTTAAAGACCATGCACATGACTTATTACAACAAGAGTGGGTAAACTCTCTGAGATATTATTATGAAAAGCAATTAAATACCGTTGCCATCAACAGATTTCACCCACAAATAAGATCATCTTCAACTCAGCATGTATTTCAGGTTGTAGCTATATCAAACTTTATTTCCAAAGAAACATTGGACTGCATTGAATCAGCCTTCCAATATCAAAGTAGACAGGGAAACCCGACAAAGCTCAAGAAATCTGACTTTGTTGTTGTGTGGATTGAAAGAAGTTATTTGACACAGATTAACAAAATACATATACTGAATTCCTTGCTTACCATTTTGAGAAGCAGGATATCCTGGTTAAGACCACTTTTCTACTAATAGAAAACGTTGAACTATGGAGTGTCCTTACAATGTTCTGGCTGCTGTACAAGTGGTCCCCACTTTGGGAGGTTTCCCTCATAATGTTACAATTGTTGGGGATACATGGGTTCAGTTTGCTATTGATGGCCTCAACCAGAGGAAAATAACCTCATGGACAGAAGGTCAAAAGTAAAAAAACGTTTAAATTTTGCCTCACACTCCTTTTTCTGCGTCATCTCTCTGACCCTCCCAGGACTTTACCTCGGATATAGGACTTGGCTGGGTTGGCTGAGCTGTTAGAGAAGTGACTGAGGACCTGGGTGTCTCTGGAGAAGACCAACAGGACCTGGTACAGGAGGTCCTCAAAGACAAAGTACTGGTCATCATTGGTCGCTGTCAGCTTCACGTCCTAGGTACAGAAGATTGATCCAAAACCATATTCTTTAAATCCTGCAGGCTCTGAGCACCCACCTTGTGTTAAGAGCAGAGTCTGCACCAAGCTCAATGGCTCAATAATAATCAGAATATCAAAGTGTCTTTGGCACAAAACAACTGAGAAAATTCTATTCCCCATAGATGGGCTCCCAGACAATCAGGGGTTACTCAAAGCTAATATGTTGATACCTATTGACACTTCTGGATGAAGAGCAGCAGGTAAAGTGGCTTGCCCAAGGACACAGCAGGTAGCCAGCAGTTGGATTCAAACCCCAACCTTCTGATTGAAAGTTACAAACTCTAACCATGTGGTAACTTTGGAATCCTGAATATGGAACATGAATGAGATGCAGTCATATACGGGATGTGTATTGCACAACTGAAGGCAGAGCGCAGCCAGCACACTGTACAAGTCAAAGAAGTTACAAAATGTGAAGTGGTAGGCATATGTGCCCTGGCTGATTCCCATAATGGGAAAGATTTTTACTGCTAAAAAAATTGCAATTAGTTCCAAATGAGCCATTTTTTTACGAATGGGTGGGAGTAAAATTTTAGCTCCCGAGGCACTGGAAAGCTGACAAACTAGTTCTTAAGGTAAAGCTAAGGGAGCCAGTTTTGTGTGCACCTGGTAAGCAGCAAAAATAACCGCGAGCACATGATGATTTATCAACCAGTGAGAGTTCACCTCTCAATGATGAATACTTGATGTACAGTATGAGGTTTGCTTAAAAAATTCCCAGACCTGCAGTCCTTTTTCCTGAGCGTAAGAAATGTATCAAAATATGAGGTTGTACTTTTGAAGTCAAGCTTGGTAAATTGAACTGTATACATCCGTGCTTTTCATTGTGAAATTGAATCTGAGCGTTCCGAATAAAAAGAAAAAGCTACTGCTTTTTGCCAGAACTGTATTAAAAAACATGTTGCAAGTACTGGTACATGAATATTTCTTGCATACCCATGTCATTCTAGAGGTCAGCATTACATCACATTGGCCTGAGTATCCGCCTAAGTACCCCCTCACAGGTTGATTTTTGTTAGTAGCTACGCGACCGCAATGTACACATTTCATAGTCATTTGAACCAGCAAAGTGCAGTTCTGACCAAAGGAGCATCCAGTGCTAGGAAAATTGCGCCCTCTCTTGGTCACGCTCGGGGCTCATAACGCATTGCCATATGGCAAAGGAGCAAAAACCCCTTTGCAACATGTTGTTACTTGTTGTATACTATACAGAAATTCAACGAAATTCCCAGATGTCTGACCATGAGAATCAGACAAACTTGTGCTTCATTGTATCGAAGTAACTATCATCCCAAAACTGCTGGCATGGCTGTCTAATTTCTACTGCTTCATGTTATTTTCCAATTTGGGGACTCAAAAAAAAAATCAATTCCAACACTGCTGAGCTGTAGCCAAGTCTCTAGAAAAGGAAGCATATGCAAGTTACTATAATCGGGATAAGATTTTGGTTTCCAGTCAATTTACACAGCATATATATTGGTTGTAATCAGTATTCTGGATATATATCTTACATGTAGCTTAACTGATTGGCAAGGGTAGAACACATTTTGTGCATTTACATTCCACAAAACTGGTCAGCCTAAGCCTCTCCCCCTTTAACACAGAAAAACAGAATACCAGTCAAATTTCAGGTGAGACAGTTAATTGCTTGCGACAAAGTCTCAGGTCAAAAATAATCTTATACAGTGTCATATCCAGGGTATCACTCAAGAGCGTTGTTTAACAGTTGTTAGAAGACATGATTATTTATTTTCTGGCAGTTTAATAAAGAGGGTTTATCAGCAGTCACGTATTCAGCAGAGGAGTTTGGGGGGGGACAACTCCCCTCCCTCCAATGTTACCTTTTTTTTAGGTATTGAAAGTGCTGAACACTCAAGGCAGTACAGGAAGTCCAGCATCTTCTTTGGGGGATAATTTTACTACAGATGAAATATTTGGGGCCATCATTACAGAAAAAATGGTTACACCCCCAATTCAAAAGCTGAATACACCACTGTTTATTACCCCTTCCCCTAACAGGTAGATCTACCTGTGTTACGTTACTTTGTTAGGCAATGTCCACCGGTACCCTGCACTGGCAAATGCAGGAAGAGACAGATTGGTGGAAAGTTTTTCAACCAGGAACATGCACGCATTTAGTGTCGAAGCAAAGACCACACATTCAGACCACAGATTCCACCAGAAATTGGTCGGACATGCTCAGCGCGTCTTTTGCCAAATATATAAACCTGCGCAAGCATACGGTGAGGTCGCACCAAAGAAAAGTTGCTGCTACCGTAAGCAATAACAGATTTTCTACTTGGCAGCTCAGAAAAATTGGGTGTTGACTGTCGTCTCCTTACCTTGTATAGAAGACTGTCTACAAGCAAGTCATGCTGAAACACATAGCTCCTTAGCTGCTCATAATACAGTTTGTCCTGCAGAGGGAGAAGGAACAGACAAACAGGAACTATAATTAAACCAATTTCTTTCTATCGGTGTATTCATTTTTTGTCAGCATCACATCTGGTAAACACCGTGCACGCAAATCCTGTAATGAAATACACATTCCATCTCTTTTATGGGGACACATATTTCAAACAGATCATGGGAAAAAGAATGATTACACAAATGCGCTGACAGTCAATAATACCTCAGGTAAAACCTATAGATTGTGATGACAGCACGGCACTGTTTAATTTTCCAAACCTTGTCCATCATTTCCTCAGAGTTTTCTCCCGGTTTCAAATAATCCCCTTTCCTGCTTTTTTTTCTCTCTAAAATATCTAGGGCAGCTAAATCTCAGACACTTTGAATCTGACATGGCATGCAGTTATCAGATCTTGACCAAAAGTGAATGGCATCGGGCGGTCAGCTATGAGTACGTGACATCAGTGGTCAATGCCCTTTCTTTCTTAACCGGGTCAATATCTTTCTCGTTGAAAAATAAAAAATCAAAATCAGCCTCGTCACCAGTAGGGTCGAGTTACAATGTGGCCTGAGTTAGCTGGGTCCCTTGCCTGAGCCACTTAAGGCCAAACAGAGAAATCAATGAACTGGGATATAATTTGTTGACGAAGGGGAGTTGCCGCTTGGAGCATCAGGGAAGTTCTTAGCGTCCACCCTCTACCACCGGGGAATGAGGGGTTTTCCGGTTTGTAGATGGGTGGCACGCATCGCCTGCGCAGAGTCTGTGAGGATGTTTGCCGTGCCATTTATCCTGTATTAATCGATAAAGGCTTCCTGTTCACGGCATTCAGCATCCATAGCTTCTTTTCTAGTTTCTACAAGGCGATTATTTGCATTTGGAAGGGTCATAAAACAAGATCACAGAACTGTTTTGACGTTCAAATCTTCTTGAATAATTTAGTTTAGTACTTGTCAATTGACGGCGACAGAAAAACATAAGACAGTTCATGAATCTCTCAATACCGGCGATTCACAATAGTGCATCTCCAAGAGTTGGCAACGTGTTGACCAATTACAAGGCACAATATCTGTCGAACCAATCAGTGTTTGGAAAGGGTCAACAGATTGTGCCATCATTGCGATTGGTCAACACATTGCAAACTCTTGGAGGCGCACTATTGTGAATCGCCTGAATAGAAAAAAAAAACCGATTCGGATTCAGCTAACATTTCTGGTGAAATTGGACAACAGTAGTAAATCCAGTGACGCTGTTTGAGCGGGTATGATTTTTTTTGGGGGGGGGGTGACAGGGAATACCTTTCCCAGCCAAAAGAACCTCTGTATATGTACTCCATTTAAATGCAGAAAGATGTAACAAACTTTAAAATTAATAGCTAAAGTGAAAATAAGTACTTTTTTAAGCTATAGGTCTCACCAAAACTGTGCAACCACACATACTTGCCAAACAGCAAGCTGGCCAGCTGGCTGGCCAACTGACCGGCCAGCTGGTTGGTCGGTCAGTTGGCTGGCCAGCTTGCTGTTTGGCAAGAGATGCAAGAATGGCATTGTACATGTAAATGTCATGTAATAAAAAGGACACACCATTTGACCCCTACAATACAGTACACGGAGAGTCCACAGACTGGATTACATCAACTCATCCTGCTAATCTCCACTGGTGCATTGGAACAAATTCAATAAATGTACACCTGACATACATCCAAGTCCTGCAGAAGACATTTATGTAATTCATTTTTTAAATAGTCAAGGTCACCTGATTACTAGCCTACACTTCAACTTTACCACTCGCCGGCACACTCTTAATGAAAACGTAAGTTTCTGTGACTAATCCAATTCCTTCCAGATGCCTAATGAGGCTGTAATAAAATGATTCTGCTCCACCAAGTACACCAGATGTAAGATGTACTAACATGCGGTACAAGGGATAATCAGTGAAACGGATCAGTATGTAGGGCATGCATCTCTGATCCAATGGAACAAAATGACTCGCAAGTCATCAGAGAAACTCTCGAATGAAAGGCCTGTAAAAAAGAATCTTGCACTGTGTAAATCAAAGGAAACCCTCAACATTTTTCACCTGGGCATTGTACATTTTCATCTTGATGCCGCACTGGGTGAAAACAAAGAGCTCACTGTTTTCTTCATAGAAACTCCATGCAAAACAGAATTACAGAAAATATGGCCTTAAGACTCATTTTGTGGGATCCGGTCACATATGCATCGTGCATGCTTAACGTGTGATGGTGACACCTAGTTTTTATAAGCACTTAGGCGCTGTCCAAGGCTGTAACACATTTCCTGATAATGCATATTGAGCATACAGTATTGGCTATGACACTTCTAAATAATGCACAAATGAAGTGGTTTTTACACCAACAAATACCTCACAGCTCAAAAAATTCATTCCATTGGGGAAAATATCTTGTTTCAAGGAAGCTCATGGCATGCATGTATATATGTCATATTGTCATGAATGTGCATGCATGTATAGGATCTGTACATATGAGAGGCAACACCCGGAGAACCTCAAAGATGACACTGGCTTGCTCGCAGCTTGTATGCTGTTCTAAAACTACTGCCGTTTACGATTGGTAAAGTTCACATGTTCTCTTACAACAATCATCACACATTGTAGTGTCTACAGGATTTATGTGGGTAAGTGTATGTTTTGTTCAGATGAAGTTGACCCCAGATGAATGCAATGAGGGCAACACATATCTGGCCAGTCCATGACTCTATATCTGACTAAATTTCTGAGACAGTTTCTCTACGTCACTGATCACAAACCTTCGATGAAACTGGCATTCCTCAATTTAAATTCCCCAAACACTCCTTTATAATCATCCATTCCTTGCCCTAGAAATTCAACTCTCGTCCACGAAGCAATGCTTGGCGCGGCAACCACAAACTCATCTTTAGTGTCCCCCCCCAACGGCCACACCACAGATTTAATAATGCTCACGCTCCACTGCACGGCCAAGCCAGTATTCTGAACGCTCAGGATGCCGGCAAGTCTGTTTAATTAAGATATCTGTACCCCCTGCCAAAGGTGTCGTTTATACCAAGGAGTGCTGGGACCAGGATAGCAAACACAGCAGTCTACATTGATGTCAACAATAGCACCACGAATATCTGAAATCACAGGCAACTAATTGATTCAACTGACACTCAAAACGTGATTGCTGAATTTTCTTCACATTGCAAAGTATCAACATTTCAGTTTCTGAAGGAGGCCTCAAGTCAGACGCCCGAAGGAGAAATTGAAATAAAAATCTCAAAAGTGAAATGGCACCTTAAATGGTCCATGTAGTGCAGCACTTTTATTACAGCCTTATCACTTTCTTTTTTTTTATTTAAAAAGGTATTTGGGGAGAATTTTAGTGTTTATGCTAATGAGAATTTTCGTATTTATGAGCAAAACTGTGATGTCACCCCAGGAACATAACAACAACAGCACCTTCCAAAAGACTTTGATGATTTCAACTTTTAACAAGTGTACTTTTCAAGACACTTAACCCAAAAAGTCAAATGTTTCTCTACAAGTATAATCATGAAGAGTATAAAAATACACAAAAAGTGTAACAAAGCACATTTTACTAGGACACTTTAGATGAAGGCCTGTGCTAGCCTCATGCTGTAGTGGAATGACTTAGCCCTGTTTCTTTTCAAAAGGTTCATTTTCTATTTCTTTAATTGCCAATATTCATTTTGCATTCATCTAGTTCATTCAGTCAAAAACCCCACTTAACTCCAATATTGGTAAAGATGCCATTACATTTTCTTTGAAGGAGTGGGGTTTTTTTTTGGTCATACAAATTCCCCAAAACAGAGTAGCTCAATATGATGCAATTCTGGACTGGGGCCAATTTCATAGAGCAGTTTAAGCATAAAATTTGCTTAAGCGGGAAAAAACCTTACTTGATAAATTAGGTAACCAGCTAAAATTCCATGTGATGTATATTGTTTGGGGATTGTATTTGGCTGTTTTTTGGTTAGCATGACAATCAGATAGAGTTTGAGCGGGTAACCTTTGTTTATTAAGCAAAGTTTTTTCCCACTTAAGCAAATTTTGTGCTTAAGCAGCTCTATGAAATTGGCCCCTGGTGACATCAGTCATCAGTCACATGGAACCAGCATGTTTACTGCTGTCAACCTACCACCAAGCATCTCCAATGTCTCCCACAAACGTCTGTAACACAGCAAAATAACTTGATGCTTCAATGTTTAGATGGGATTTTGAACATACAGTAGCCAAAAGAGACATACACTGTAGGGGTTACATTAGGGATGTGTTCAGGAAAGTGATGTGGATCTTGGGGGAAAAGTTTGCTACTCAATGACACCATCGGCAGGTGACACCCCAAGGTAGGATTTCACCATGTGTGACTTGTCACAGAGGTAGGCCTATCATATACAATCCTTTAGCCTCCTTTTGCACTTTAAAAGAAAAAAAAGGTTGGAAAAGCAAAAATGGCCACGTACATCCAATATATAAGTCTTGCACTTTTACCCCAACAATAGTTCTTTGGGAGATTCAATTGGGTTGAATTTCCCTTTCATTTGGCACTAGGGTATGATGGAACCTCAGCAGAGGCCTCTGTACAATGAATAGAAAACTTGATAAATTGTGACCACATACAAGTAGAATGGAGAGCAGAGATTTGTCACCAGACACCACTTTAGACTTTGGTACCAAACAGGATCTATTAAGATTCAGAAGGTGGATTTGCTTGTGATAATGATCCAGGTCTCTAGAGGTACTCTAGTCTTTGTTGGTCTTGTAATCATATCGTAAAGCTCCAACTGGTAGGATTACAAAAAGGAAGAAGGAAAGATAACAGGTGGAAAGGAATTACTGCAAAGGAAAGGAGACTTGTGGGCAAAAAGGTAGGGAACTCAACTGTCTCAGGGTCACGGCTTGATGACGGTGGAAGAGAAGCTGAAACGCTCTTCTATGCTTCCCATCCCCCACAGAAAGGGGAGAGAAAATAGGGTAAAGGCTGAAAAG